CCTCTGCATTTCATGAACATCTACAGCTTGTCATACTATCAATCCATCAGTCTCTACAACCGCCTCCTGTGAACCCTTCAACATCTTTCAAAATACCTCAAAATTCGAGGACAAAACATGGTTTTATCTGTTTGGGTTAGGTTCAACTCTATTAAATAGACAGACTAAGGTAACTAAGTTCCAGAGACTGAACTCCTGGCCACTCTATGGCTCCCCGACACGCAGGCATGGCATCCCTTCGGGTGGCATGTTCTGGGCCTAGGGCGCAGGATAGATGCCAAAGAAGAAACATGTCATCATTGTTATACTGTACTGACTGTACTGGAAAAATGGAATACTGTGCCAGCAGAATTTGGGTCTCAAAGTCTCTGTCATTGAATACCAGTGGGGCATGTCAATGTGTGGAGGAAAAATGACCAATTGCAGCAATGGCAGCCATGACCGCAACAGCAGGTCCCCGCAACGCCAACATCCAATCATCATGACATTGGGACCAAGTGATGTGAAGGGGACTTGGTATGTCGTCTGCTGGCTTCTTTGGTGAAGCACATCATGCAGCAGCGGGGTGAATAGGCTGGAAGCATGCAATCATGGCAATAAGAATCAATCCGAATTTAAGCAAGCCGAGGTGATACCTTTGCAGCACTGTCAAAGTTGTTTGTTCACCAAGCCGGCATGAGGTCATGGGATGTCAAATTTTGATACGAAAGGCTGAAACGGCAGTTGCTGGCATGAGTCGCTTTCAGAGAGCAGCTAATACTGTTAAGATAGCTGAGGCACTTGGCTATGCAGCATCTTTTTTTGGCTCTGCACATGCCACAAAGTCGACCTTGAGGAAGAGCGTCTGGTGAAACACGGGGAGCTGGGTCACGGTTTGCACCTTTGCCACCCAGCTTTTGGCTTTGTCTCGTTGGAAGCGTTGCTCGAGTTGTGCGGGGTTGCATCTGGACATGTCTAAGAAGGCTTGGACGATGCGGTCCCGCTCTTTCTCTGCGTATGTTTCGCGGGTCTTGGGGCCACGGGTGAACATGGCTCTCTCAAAGCCCTGCCGGATGCAGTGCTGGTGGGCCACGCTTTCCAAGACTAAGGCTTGAAGCTGATTGGCTGTCACAATGCACAGCTGCAAGACGAGTGCCCTCAGGAAGGCTGTCTCCATAGGCTTGTACCCTCCCCTGACTACAAACGCAGTCTGGCCACTGTGAGGAACCCAACTTGATGAGGGTCTTGTTGCCCAGCTTCAGTGCCAGAACGTGCACTATGCCAGACCCGCTTGCTTCAAGGAGGCTACACGTATAGACCTGCAGCTGATGCACCAGAGCTCCCAGCCGTGGCAGCGTCCATGCATGGGCCATGCCTGATTGTCCGGCACGTCTTCGCCGGGCATCCGCATCCAGGTGCCACCCTCATGCGTAGGGCCTTGAGGAACCTGAGAATTTCAATGGTTCACATGCCTGCATGTCACCGTCAGACACTGAAACCCTGAAAAGCACCATACTTGTGAGGGAATGCGTCAGATGCCTCAAAATTTCCATGGTTCACATGTTTGCATGTCACCGTCAGACACTGAAAACTGAAAAATACCACACTTTCGGGGGGTCTCCAAGAACGTGAGAATTTCCATGGTTTACATGTCTGGATGTCACCATCAGACACTAAAACACTGAAGAATCCCAACAGCTGCGTCAGGCTCTGGCAAGCCAAGCGTCGGTCCACTCCATAAAACCGAAGACCTCGAGCCCGACGACGCAGCACCTGGTTCACTTTTGATCGCCGGTCCAGCTGCCTTCGCTGGTTTTGACTTAGCAGGTGCAGCTGTTGCTTTTTTCACCCTGCCGGTTTCTACTTCCATGGCTGTTGCTTTCAACATCTGCACCTCTTTCACCTTGAGCTCTGCCTCTCTCAACTGAAGCAAAGCCTCTCTCTTTTCAAGCTCTGTCAGTTTCATCCTGACATCTGTGTCTCGGACTCTTGCTTTGCTATTTGTAGCTTGAGCTGATAGTTCTCTTCAACCTGCTGGGTCCATCGATCAGCCATTGACAAAAAGCCTGTCATGACTTCCCTTGGCATCAGGAAGCCAGCTTCAGCAGCACCTCGAGCTCGAGCTTGAATAGGGACGGCTTGCTTTCGTCATCATCTGCGCGTTCAGCTCTGGAATCGGGCTGTCTGGATCTCCTCGCTCTCCAGATCCAAGCATCTGTGAGGCTGGTGGACTATCTTGTTCCACAGCTCTAAGCATCTGTGAGGCTGACGGTGATGCAGGAGGAGGACTACCTTGAAGCTGATCTCTTCGCAAACTCCTTGTGCGAGCATCACCAGTAGACTCCGACTTCATTCATTATATTAATTTCTCTTCCACCCGGGGCTGCTTGAACCACTCTCATGGTGGCACTCAAAATCTACCACCTTTTCATCTTGAGAGTCACAAACAGCTATATAAGTTATTGGAGTGAGTCTGCCAGCAAGAAATTGTTGCCATATGTCTATTTCTGTTGATTCACGTTTCTGTCTTTGCCCTAGATTGCAGTTCTCCACCCTTTTTTCACCGGTCATCCAAGAGGCATGACGCAGGATCAATGAAACGCCCTGAAGCCATACGCAGCTCCAGACTTTTAAATCTGAGGCCAAAACGCACAACCAGCCTGCCAGAAAGACTACAAAAAATGACATGGTACCCTGAGCGCTGTGACGTCATGGGATTGCATGAGATTCAATCAGATTCAATGGGATTCCATGAATTCAATTGGATGAAATCAATGGGTTCCAACTTCCAACAGGATCATTTGTTCCCCAATGACTTCGTGGCATTGCCCCCTTCGCCAGCTTTGGCCTGTCGTTGTTCCGTAGTGCAAGTAAAGCTGCAGTTCCCAGTTGGCCTCGGACTCTGGTCCAACCGTGTCAGCGGTGTCCATGGATCCTGCATTGAGACGTCTGGGAACCGCCTTTTTGTGGCCGTCTGCACCCTTTGGTGCGTGAAACAGGAACTGAGAAGCACACATTCTTTCATGCGATCTCTAAATGAACTGACTCAGCTCCCAAGACACGTGTTCCTTTCTGTCTGTTGGCTTTCACAACATGGACCAACACGAGGGGTTGCCGAATGAGAAAGGGATCCACCAAATATTTACACAAAGACCCAGGTTTGACCCACAAGATGGCTAAGAAAGACATCACTTCTTGGAATTGGATACCAATAATTGCTACAAAATCTTATAAACTCCCACAAGATCATGTCGCTTGGGCGATACTTCAATTCATCGGAATTCCGGTGCCTCTTCAAGGCAAATTTGGCACGCTATCGCGGCTACCGTGGCTCACCTCTGTACAAGCGCCCAAGCACTGATGCTGATGGCTCCCGCTATGGATTCGCTCCATCCGCGGCTTGGTTCTCCTCTCTCCTGCACAGAGCGACTCTGAAGGGTGCCTAAAAAAGAAGGATTTAGAGTGATTGTAGAATATTGATTTGAACATTGTAGATGTCATCTGAACTGGCACCATCAGCAAAACGACAAAAGGGCCAGGGCCGCAATCATTTGGACAAAAAGGAGGTGTAGCACCAAATTGGCACGTTACAGTTCGTGGTTTCCAGACAGATTCTGCCGCATCTCCTCGGCTCGTAACTCCGCCTGTCAGAACTGCTGATTTTATGATGAATTGACCCTGCCGGCCCGGCCCAGGCGGCCCAGGCGGCCCTGCCTCATGACCATGCAATATTTCTGGAAGTTGATCCTCTCGGCTCCCTGCGGGCTCTGGATATATCGGATATATCTAGCTCTATGATCCTCATCTGCAGATCTAATGTATCTATCTACTACAGTATCTACATATAATTCTATGTGTTGTAGAGGACTCCCATTCACCCACAATCACCCATGAACATCTCTAGCCTGTCGCCCGTAACAATCTCGTACTCATCAACTTCGTAAAGGGATTTGGAAAAGTTTGGTTTGAGATGAGAGCCACAACTCCAACACAATGATTGTGTTCATCTTCTCAGCTTGGGAAACTTGATAAAGATATGCCATGACAGGACGTCTCAATACTGCAGAAATGACCAATGGCGCAGAGCTTTGAGAGGTGAAATTGAAGCTGAGACAAATGCTCACTCTGTAAATTCGCTTTCCCTGAATCCCACTGCATGAATTCTGACCCTGTTTTGTTCTGAAGAAATAAACTCTGACCATGTTCCATTATAAACCATTACTTGCCCATTATCAACCCTGCTTAAGAACGAATTCCCAATGATTTACCATTAACAATTCTCAACACCATTCTGAACCCTTATTAACCAATTATATACCATTATATACCATTATTAACCATTATTAACCACGTTTACCATGATTAACCACTAGTAACCATGACCATATTGGAGTCTCTAGCGGCTGAGGGACCTCGTTGATCACCTCCTGAAGCTTCGTCAACCTCCAGTGATGGTCAGAAATGCCCTGAAAAAAAAACCTGGGGATCTCTGAAAAAAAAATGTTAATCGCCATTAATAATGATTACTGGTTAAGAATGATAAGAAAAATTAGTAACTTATTTTGAACTATTCATAATTAGTAATTAGTAATTCTAAATAACGGCTAATAATGATTCATGGTCAATGGTTAACACTGATTAATACCCATTTTTCTTTTAATGGTTTCCCAAACAAATTGTTTGTTTCAAGATGAGGGAAGCCCGGAGACCATGAAAAATTGGCTACCCGTTACTTTGAACTTCAACAAACTGTTTGAATCTAAGTGGGCCATCAACCCACTACCCATCTGGAAGTCAAGCTGAAGCCAAGGCACTTCTTGGCATAGCCAGGCAGCTGTTTGATCACTTCCACCTCAGGGTCCAGAAACAAGGGTGAGAATCGTGCGATTTCCGGAGGGCATCGCGTATAACTTAACGGGCATATCTACTACGCTAGAACAACATCAAACCTTTGCGAACCACGATCTTTCATAATGCCTTCCAAACCCACCATATCCATGTCCTATGCACGCACTTTGACTTCAATAGCCTGCTTGGGTGCATCTCCCACGCCGAGCATCCAGAGTAGAGATGGGCACCATGTCATTCTGAGGTTTCATGGACCTCAGCTGAGGATACACAGTGGAAACTCAACAAGTTGTAGGGAAGTATCCTCTTGAAACGTCTCACACAAAGGATAGTATGTGAGAAACCTCTCAGGAGCCAAAGGAAAATAACGATGGTCTTCCGGTTTCAGAACATCTACATGAACAGTTGAGATTCAAACTGTGTCACGAGACCAAAATGCAAATGCCAGCAGCAGCTCGACTTTCATCTCTTCAGAAGGGATATGATATGTTCATTATCGCATGACCAGTGTCATTCATGCAACTGCCTGCGTTCCGCAAAGATCCTCGTTTTGGTGGAGGCCAGGGCACTTCAACAGCCCATTTCTTGCGGCCCGAGGAGCCACCAAACGGAGCAGAAGTTGTCTACAGCTCCCTTCTCCAAGCCGAGGAGGGAACCAATTCGACGATGCTTCAGGCGAAGGTCCACATAGTTCATCACCTGAAACAGCCACGTCGATGTCATTGAGCAACTGGAGCCCAGTGGATGCACAAAGGAGAACCATGGATAGAAATGAAGTGCCCAAGAGTTGGATTCAAGAGTTCAACACCGAACATGGTGGGAAACCTGGGAAATATCATAATCTGCAGCTGCGGATGGTGAAAAAAACGATGTGCATCAGCTCTGGTCGGCAACGCCTTCAAGAAGCCAGCGAGATCCACCTTGGTGTAGGCACATTGAAGGGGTTCCGATACCCTCTGTGATACAAGCTTGATTATGTTATGCACATCTGTTGCAATACATCCATCTGGACCAAGGATCAGGCAGAGATTGATGAATTCCAGGTTACCAAACCCATTTCCTGCCAGTCCCAGTGCTTCAGGATGCTTCAGGTATGCATGGATGATAATCAACTGTCAATATTTTCATAGATACTATAAATAGTCTATAAATATCTAGGCTGCAGCGAAATGCAGATCACCCGCCGGAATTTTCCGATCCGTCTCCTGTCTCCCCATCTCCCCTCCACAACTTCCCACGGCTCCCTCAGGATGAGCTTGGTATCTTCAGGGGGCCACTCCGCCCGAAGCTGGCTCACGCTCCAGGCGATCTGGGCGTGCCAGGTAGACAGTTTCAACAATCAGATAGATTCAGATAGTTTCTATGTTTCAACTGTTTCAACCTAATTCTAGGTAACTATTGCAAACCCTTCAGCCTTCCCTTCTAAGGTGATATAACTTATTTAACCCTAAGATTCTGAGATGGTGAAAATATGTTCAAAACCGAGATAAAACATGATGAAACCTCAGGTTTCCACCTGAATGTTTCACAGCGCCTCGTCATCTCGGATATTGCCATCCATTTCCTTGTCCGCCTGAGTCACGGCAGAGCGGTACAACCATGCCAGCATGCAAAACATTGCAAAATGTGGATAGTGTATGGCATATGATGTGTGAATATTTATACTGTATGTGAAAATCCCTCCAAAGCAGTCTGAATCATAAGAATTGCTATGCAAACTGGGCAGCCCGCTAACATGAAATTCAATCTCATGAAGTCGAACTCCTTGTGGACAGCAGAGAGTGAGAGTGAGAGCACACATGAATGGCTGCTGCGTGGGCAACTCATGTCGTTTTTTTCCAAGGAATTGAGTGTCCTGGTCACCACATTTAGCCCTGAGTATTGTTGGGAACATAAAAGAATTGTGGCGCATTCAGCCTGATGCTGGCCAGTACTTGGCTTCACGAGTTTCCGGGTATTCATGTAGCTGCTTGTAGCAACTTTGCGAACATTCCCACTTTGTGTGCGGCCATCATTAGGAATCTTCCTCATAAGGACAAGCAGGGAGAAATGCTCGAGCCGAGCTAAAGATACCAGGCTTGGGAAATTTCTTGACAACACAAAGTGCAATTTCAAGGCTCATTGGCAGCTGCCGAAGTTTTCGGTTTACAAAAAGATTGCCTGATATGCGTTGAAAACTGGTTTTCAGCCAATCACAAAAAATCTAGATGGAAATGCATATCTTCAGCAGATTCGCTGCAATTTGCTGCACCACTCTGAGCTCGTCCTCCGCGCCCCAGCCATACTCCAAGGCCAAATCCGCTTGCTGTCGCAAGCGTTGCCGTCGCAGCCGAGAGGTAACGAACTTGACCTGCAAAGTACCATCCCAAATCTGGGAGTCTTCTGAGAACTGGCCAGGCCCATCTTGTCACATTTCCCCATTTCCCACACAAATTCACTTTTACAAGTGGAACATATTTTCAACATGGGCTTATGTGGTGGTTTGGGTTGGTGGTTTGGGGGTCTGGGAATTTTAAGTTTTTTAACATGTTTTGAGAAAGGCGGCCCAAGTAGTGGGAAAAAAATCCAGAATGCTCTCATCGTTTGAAAATAGAACGTCTCACTTCCTTCTTGGCATTCCTTGGCGGACTGCCTGACATGGCGGCCAGCGGGTGTTTCTGTACAAGGACGCTTTGTGCGTCCAACACCCGCTATACCCGCTGACCGCATTTGGACCGGAGGGGGGTGGAGGGGGGTGAGAATTTTGCATTTGCTGCATCAACGTTTGGGCAAACCGAAGCAATGTAAGGGACAACTGAACATACCACTCCCGTCATGCATGACTGCAGCATGGCCATCACACAGTGGGGCTCCAATGGTAGCGGTCAACACCCAAACCAAAAAAATCAAAAAAACACAATATCCCAGACCCCCCAAACCAGCAAGCCAAACCATCACATAAGCCGTACCTGGTATTTTGATCATAATACTTATTAATAATAATAGTTCCTGCTCCAGGTGTCAGACCATCCGTAGGAATTCCTCCAATTCCAGCTCGCCCGACTCATCCAGGTCGTATCTCATTGGATCCAGAGATGTGCGGTGCTACACTCCCTCCCATGCACTCGGCATAGGTGGGGTCACTCACAGTCATGCAGGATTCGCACTGGTAATCTTCGTTTCAGAGTAACTTGGCCAGATTTCACATGTGCGTGATCTGATTGGACCTACACTTACACTGATTTGATTTGGCTTCTGCCTGGTTTCTGATCTTCTGAGACACCTTCTCAATTCACCATTGAGTCTCAAAAAGTACTTTCGTCATCTGCTCCAGCTCTCCCGAAGTAGATCTTCGGGCCGCCCGGCTCGTCGATGAGACATGTGATGAACTCAGATTCCTGGCGGCGCCGGGTGCTGCTAGAGCTCGACATGTAAACAGCCGCTCCCTGACATCTTGGATTCTGACTGTACTTGAGATCCAATGGAAGATGCAAAACCGTACTGGCCAACCACAACGCTATATAAGGCCATGGTTGCTCACCAGTGGAGCGCCTCCTCTTTTGCCTTAATGCCACAGTCCTCCAGACACTTCTGACACTCCTAAGCTGTTTTAAGCAGTTTCGCTGATGGCAAGCGTGTGCAAGTCTTGATGTGAGTCTTGGTGTTTCCTTCCAGCCTACAATTGGCATTCTGGTGTTCTGTATGCTTCCCCTGCATTTCTGGGCCCCGTCTAACCGTGCAGATATGAAATGTTTCTAGTTGATTGGCATGTGTCGGGATTGGGACTGAGATAAAGGACAATTGAGTTATATATATATATATGTACGCTATTAATGCCATTTAAACGCAATTAATACGTAGACTTTATACATATATATATATATTAGCTACAAATACCTATAACATGAATTAACATCCTCCCGTGCCAAGCATTGCCAAGCCACCTCGAGACTGAGCCCGTTCGTGCTGTCAGAGTCATTTTGATTAAAGACGTCGATCACACGCTGACACTCCTGGAGGAGAAAAATATCCCCGCCATGCGTCGACTTCTGGAGTGCTTCTGCCAAGGATGGAAAGAGTTGCTCTATAATTTTTGATAAGGTTTAATTAATTATAGTGTATCCACCAACAATTAATTATAGTTTATCCAATTCACGTTGTGTTTTGATAAAGCGCTTCTTGGAATATTCCAACATTATACCGGTATCATCGAGTATCCCTTTTTTTTTAGCCGCAACATCATTCACAAACATTATTCGAACTGCGGCCATACGGGCACCCGTTCCATGCTCACTTTGGACAGCTCCTTCTCACGGATTTTGCTAAGGATCCTTGGTGACCAGCGAGAATCAGTGGAATAGTTCTGGAACAAACCTTCCAAGACGAACTCCTGGAACCAGTTCCTAAATGCTATTTGCCACATGAACAATGAAGAACCATTTCCATCCATTACCTGAATTCCCAAGATGGGTCAAATATGATAGTAAGACATATTAAGACCCTTATTTCTGAAGGGTTGGGCTTTGGAACCTCCACTAGGTCTATATTGTTGTTTAGACAGGGCGCTTGAGACATTGCCGCAGGTCTAATCGATCAACTTTCGACCTTGGATGCAGCCGTTGTCTTTCAGCACAGTGCAAGACACTGTCAAGAAGCTGCCCTGCAAGACAAGGGTCTCAAAGATTGTCAGATCTCCCTCCATGTTTGGTTTGTTTCGAGTAAACTATTGAACTATGGTCACAAATTGTCACGGTTCTTCCATGGCAGCAATTCATTCCGCTGTTCTCGGGTTTATCGCACTGTCCCCTGCCTCTCTGACTTGGCCAGTTCAGCCTGGCACCAAGCTGAGGGATCCCAAAGAATGGTTTCCCCGGGTTCCCCTTACAAGGATGGATGAACCATGATATACTAATAACCAGGTTAGTAACATCCCCTGTTTATGGGTGTATATGTATATATATATATATGACTTCACTCATTCCAGCGGCCATTTTCACTGCTGCCAAAGCAGACACGGTTGTTTCAAATGTCCGTCAGGAACAACAAGGTGAAGTCAAGGCAGCCACAACGTGTAGCTGCTGATGCAACCCGCCAGTTAGTCGTGGTGGAGGGGCCGGTGGTGGCCAGATTGAACTTGAGAACAAAAAGACGGCAGCATGAGTCACCACTTCCATGATGCGTCAAACACCTGTGAACAGGAAAAATGACTTCACTCATTCCAGCGGCCATTTTCACTGCTGCCAAAGCAGACACGGTTGTTTCAAATGTCCGTCAGGAACAACAAGGTGAAGTCAAGGCAGCCACAACGTGTAGCTGCTGATGCAACCCGCCAGTTAGTACCCATACCCATATTCATATGACTTTGGCCACCTGTTCCGCGACCAATGCAGCCAACTTCCAAGGGTACGGTTGAGCCAGCAGGGTTCTGAAAATGCCGCAGGTAGAGAGACCTGCCAGCGGAACATGTGGACGATGGGTTGCGGAGCAACACTTAAATGTACCAGTGCATCGTTTGTTCAGAGTATGCAGGTCCCAAAAGTTACCAACAACAGCAGTAGGTTTTTTCCAGTCTTCTCCGTATTGACAAAAATCCAAGATAACAAGACCAGGATCATATTTGCGGCGAAATTTCAGCATGGGAGGCATATACCAGATATAGCTAGTGGCAGGATTCTCAAGGGCATAGGGAATCGAATATTGTTGACAAAGCTCCAAAATACGAATCGAAAAACGCAGAAGCTGATTACCCTGTTCTACCTTGAATCTGTCACCTGCTGATAGCCAAGGAAATCCAAACAAATTGTCGTAATCACGCAATGGTCCAGGCCCCACATCATCCCATTTTCTAGCTTGTGAGAAGCTGGTGCAAGGCATGCCCAGCCATATGAAAGCAATCCTACGCTGCTGAATCCAGTGTACAATGGTATGCTCGATATCCACATGTAAAACATTGTGCGAAGGAAATAGACAAATATCAATGGGAAAAGCGGGAATATTGTGAAAATTCAATCTATCAGTAATGCGAGCTGTACCAGAAAAAATTTCGAGGCAGAATCTCTCAGGCAATGAACTGATCGAGAAAACATCCATCCAACCTAGGTTCATGGCAGTCGAGGGGTCACTTGGCCCTTGAGCATTCTCTCCATGTTTGCTTGCGACCACTGACAATACTCCATGTGACTTGGTGACAAAGTTGCCATCAGTCGTTGGATCTTCCCCACCTTCCCGTACCTTCGCACGCTTTGATCGGTATGCCATCGACCTCTGATCTTCACGGCCTGAGCATCTCTTTCTCCACTGTTCAGGTCCTCTGACGCTCCTCCATGACGAGTTTGATAAGGGTGCAAACTTTTGATGTTGAGCAACTTTCCCACGCTCTGAAAGCACTTCCTGCACTCTGCTGCAGAGAATGGGTAGATGAAGTCGTCCTTGTTGTTCAACTTGCTCACCCGGGCCATCATCAAGGGACCGAGATACTCTCGGCCTGGAGAATTCAGAGGCACTGAATTGTCGAAGATCCCCACCTTGTCTGGCTTGAGGTCCTGGCTGTCCCTGACAATCACGGAATGCCAGCGATACTGACGACCTGCACTGCGAACTGGAGGAACTATGTCTCGTCCTCGTAGCTCTATGCTCTCGCCAGGTCTGAGGTACGTGTCGTGGTCCACCATGAGTTTCAAGGACATCAGTTTCTTTCCTTGAGCAGCCATGGCCATTGCCATTCCACAAGCAATCAGACGAGGCAAGGGTAGTCGGCTTTGAGGAGGACGTTCTCGCCTCCATCCCTTCAAAGCCCGCCAGCACCGCACCAAAGTGCCTTTGAGATGGATCTGCTCGAACTCCACCGCGGCAACCACTTTCTCTCCCTCCGCCGCCGAGCCTCCATCTAGAAACAGCACGTCCAAGAAGTCTACAAGAATGTCGTCCACGTTGCTGTGAACTGGCCATCCCAATCCGCTGGCCCGGCAAAAACTCTCGAACTTCGCCAGGTACTGTCGATATTGATGTTGCACCTCCTTGGACACTGAACGGGTCTCCAGCATGGTAAGAAGCTTCGATTGGGCCCTCTTTCCCAACATCTCTACAGGCTCCATCACCATACGACCAACCACCCTTCGAGGTGGAGGGGCAGCTTTCACTGGAGTATCCTTCGGCTTCAAGATGCGAGACGTCGACGGCTTGACCGTCGGCTTGCTCGAGCTCGAGCTGCTTACATTCATCTTCTTCACCACCTTCGGCTTTGGTGTGAGGCACCTCTTCGGATTCATCTTCGTGGGCGCTATCAGCAAACTGCCGGTAAGCACCCGGCTGGATCTGGCCTCTTGAGGGGCCATCGGCTGGATTGAGTTCTGAGGGCAGCCAACGTAGTCGGAGACCCAGCCCGGCAGCAAGAGACAAAGCTGCCACCTGCTGTGTAATCCGGAGCAGCCGAAAATTCTTTGCTCTGCCCTTGGACACTGCAAGTGCCAAAGAAAAATTGTCTACTAATATGACATGTTTCTTGTTCCGACTGTGACTTGACCGCGAGAGACGGCGGAGACAAATGATGAGAGCGCGGCCCTCCTTCAGTGTGATGTGTTCATGACTGCGCCACTTTCCCATCAAAACAGTTTTCCAAAGCGAAGGACGCAGCAATCGACAATCAACCTCTGGGAAATCTTCATTAAGTTTGACAAGATCGTCATCATAATCACCATCATGTCCCAACCCTGTTACTGTAATGGGGTCACAAACCGGATCCCTCTGAAGAGCCCGCCTGCGTGGTGCCCACTCCTCAGGCCCCAGGCGCTTGAATCTCCAGCGCTCGTTCCACCTGCCCAAGCGTTGTGCAGATGCACCACCAACACGCTGTTCACAAATACCAAAACCATCAGGACTGGCATCAGTGCAGGTGATAACATCCGACCAACCACGTTTGATGTCAGCAAAGAGCAATGGAATGAGACCTGAGAAAATAATACACTCACGCGACTCTTGCTTATTGAGCATCCGAGGTTCACAATTGCTCTCAATAAAATCATAGCAACGTCGAAAAACTGACATGCCGGATCGGTTCAATGTAGAGAAAAACATTGCATGTCCCAACAATCTTCTCATAATATCAGGGGAAACCACATGTGAAGCAGCATGTTCGAAAGCAAATTTGAGGTCCCATGCGCGTCGATTTGTCATCCGCACATGTCCCGCCTCTCCGTCCACCAGCCCACCCAATGTCTCGAAGTGATGGCTGGCAGGGGCGTCCTCGTGAATACAAAATCCCATGTTGCCGAGTTCATCGACAATCGCTTGCTTACCGTGTTCACAGCGATCCCGTTCGAGAGATAGGCAATGAATATTGTCACAATAAGGCATGCTATATATACCACCTTCATGGAGGAGAGGAGGAGGACGTGCATCAAGGAAGAGCTCACCCTCTGTAATGTCCAGGCTACGCAACACGGCATCCTGATGAATATGCTGTACCAAGTAGAATGACCAGGAAAATCCCATAGGCAAAACATTAACACAAGGAGAAACCATGGTACCATCATCCCCAGTATACTGACCTCCCGATACCCACCTGGCATCGGCTCCTGAGATATCAAACTCAAAACAGAAGAACTCCATCATCTCAGTAGGAATATGCACACCGTAGAAACAATCCTGGATGTCGGCTCCCCCCAAGAATAGTGTAGCATCGTTAGGCAAGTCCACTTCCGCAAGACTTGCAAGGCTTCCCAATTCTGTATGAGGTGAAGGTTTGAACAACAAGTTTGTCTGACGACAATCCAACACAAGTCTTTGACGTTGCTGAGTCACCCCTCCAATATTTTTGGGCTTCTTGCTGACAGTAAATGCACCTACCCTCCCCCGGCATCGATTGACGAAAGAAAGAATCCCACAACCATACATCATCCTAAGAAAAGTAAGGTATTTGGATCTATCCTTCAGCGATGGGTCACTGTAGGGCTTAAGGTGGGCGCAATCCCTAGAAATACTTGTCCAAATATCAGGGTCCTGCAGCATGACACCCTCAAAGTTATCCACGACCCCCTGAAGGGAGCTATCAAGCGCCGATCGCAACTCCACGCCAGCTCCACTTCCATCAGGAAGCGACAAACGCTCCAGCTGCAATGGCACCACGTCGCCAACGCTAACCTCTGGTTCAAAATAAGCAGAGGCAGCCACCCGGAGCGCCTTAAGTGCTCCCGAGTCAGTTGCAGTGGGTGGGGCACCCATAGTTCTAACTGCAGACAGGATCGAAGTGATTGCCTCCCTCTGTAATAAAGGCAACCCATCCAAACCACCCACAGCCTCCACTGTGGGGAACCCAGAGGTCCCAAAGAAAAGCGAATTCAAACTGTCAATGGCCTGGTTAGCTCTCTCAGCAATCCTTGCCCGACACAAAATTCTCCTTGAAGTGGCCCGACACAAGCTATGCTTTTGTACAGCATCGACCCTCAAACGAGGCAATGGAAAAATGTCCCTATTGCGATCATCAGGAGTCGGCTCATGAAAAATCGGGCTGCTCCATCGACTTCTCATCTTCGCAGTGTCGAAAAAGCGCAAGAAACAGTGATGGCCACACCGCCAAGCCACCACCAGCGCAAAAGCTCTCACGCAGCACCCCCCCCAGCTTTAGCAGGGGGAGGATTTTTGGGTTGTACTGGTACTGGTTGACCTTTCTTGCCACCTTTTCCCAAGCTAGTCGCCTCGGAGAGCTTCCTCTTCTCCTTCATGATCTGACTTTGTGCTTGCATCTTCTTACTGACGTGGTCAGTCAACGATGGGACGACAATCCCGCCACCCATCTTGTAGGTCTCTCCAAGATAGTGTTCAGCTCCAAGATATGATGGAGCACCTGGGGAGCCCGAGTGAGCATCTGCCAGAAGCTGTCTCCTGCGGCACACCAACTCCATGCAAGCCAGATTTGCAATGTTTAATGAGTCATAGCACAGTGCAGTGTCTAGCACTCTTGCAAGGAGCTGGTCTTCATAGACCGACCTATCCCCTGGAGGGATGCCAGCTGAGTTGATCCATATATGGTGTTGTGCAGTAGCACTTTCAGCGATACCTGACACAGCACGCACATAGTCCAGTGCTGTCCTCGGTTCCAATGGCCAATCGTCAAATTCAGTCTGAGATAATTCACGAACTGATTCCCTGAAGTTACGCTGCCTCTCTCCATTAGAAGCATAGCGTACCTCAAGGGTTCTGACGTCCTCGGCCACGGACTTCTCAACACCATCAGAGCTTTCAGCTGACCTCGCCAGGAGTATACGGTCATCACAGAAAGCAGCAACCGCATCGTCCGTCAATCGTCGAACCAAGCATGGGCGCTCAACATTGTCAGTACCCGTAATGTTGCACAAGCCATAGTCGCCAAGGGTAACCAACTCCGGTCCCGGAACTACACGCTCTCCAATCTTACGACCAACCACCATTTCACCCAGCACCCAGAACTGAACTGGAGCAGGCCCTGCAGGACCAACCCCCATACCACCAGCGCCTGGAGCAGGAGCTGCAACGCCAGCCCTGACACCACCAATGCCTGCAGCTGCAGGCTCAGCGGCTAGCCCGCGTGCAGCTCGAACCAACTGTCCCTCTGCACGACCTTGGTCCATGAGACGAGTGAGCTGCTGCATAGTCATGGGAGCAAATCCATACACCCGATCACCTCTAAGGCCAGCGGGGAGAGCCCCGTTTGCACGCCCTTGCCAAACACGAGTGATATCTCCATTCACGCCCGGATCCAAAACCTCTGAGTAAACGTCGAAGTCAGGGGTCCCTATGATAAATTCACTTCCCGGTGCATCTACCACATCCAGAATGAGTCTGCAATGTACAACTTGTGGTGGGCCTTCGCCATAATCCACATATGCAAGGTCGCCAATGTTCAGATTCATCCTTCAGTCAATTGAAGCCCTTTGGGAACACCGTAAACTCCGAAACCCCCTTTCTTGCCCTTGACTCCTACAGAGAACTCGTGGCGCTTGCCAGACTCTGAGTCTCGATATGAGAATCGAAATGCCAGGGCTGCGTTGGAGCACACCAAGAGGCACCCCAAAACGCAACCAACCAACACCAACACGTTCCCCAGCCACCCTACCTCAGAGCTGCCAGATGTGTTGCAATTGCACTGGCACTTACAGGGCACCGACTCCAACTTCGGTGGATATGTGGACCACTCCCTCGCAAGCCAGCCTAGAACGAAGCTCCCTATGGCAGCCGGGGCAAAGAGAGGATGGTCCATGGGGATAACAACCAGATTGAACTTGAGAACAAAAAGACGGCAGCATGAGTCACCACTTCCATGATGCGTCAAACACCTGTGAACAGGAAAAATACACATATACATAATATACATAATACCATGATGAACCCCTGTTTCTTTGTCTTGGAAACGACCAGGTAATCCAATTGTAAACCACCGTTGAATGTTCTCCGTTGAAACCGAAGCACTGGACGTTGACGCCGATGCCAAAAGTTGCAGACGGCCTCGGCCATGGAGCACAAGAAGCTTCGCAGGGAGCCATGCTTCGGAAGCAGCTCGGTGTCCATGAAGACCAGCGGAAGCCTGTCGACCTGTGGCCCCAAAGTCACTCAGCGGGTTCAGGAATCGGTAAAATTCCCAAACATCACTGAGTTCTTGGAGGTAGACACTGCAACTGCCAGACAGAATGTTCAGAACACACAATGATGCTATTTTGATTTGTACTGATATGTAATCAGCTTGTAGATGTCCAAACCACTGGATATTGCACTCCATCCTAACCCTGCTGCCTCGAGTCTGTCGTCGGAAAACCGTTGAAAAGCCTCCCAAAGGTCCAGCAAGCTGTCCTGCACCAGTTTAGGGTTGTAGCTGCAGAGCTGTACTAGAGATATGGGTTGGTGTGGACCAAGCCAAAGCCAAAGCTGCTTGGACCCAAGGAATTTGGGAAGACTGATTGCTTGAGGGTCTCCTCATGTCCTAATTTTCAGGCCCAAAAATACAGAAAGGCGATTTTAATTACAGCAGGTCTCCAGTCAGATCATGACTGCCCAAGATCTTGAAGGGGTTTCGACATCTCTCGTCGCATCTGTCCTGCCAAAGTTGTCGCTCCTCTGCATCTAAGCTCAGTTCCTCTCAAGACTCGAGAAGTGACAGCGGCTGACAGCGGAAAGTTGGGTCCCCAGGACCCAACTGGAGCCACCGATCTTGGGCAAACATCTCTTGGGTTGCTAAATGTTGCTAGGGCGAAAATGAGGGACCTCCTCCCTGAAGAATCTCATGTCACTGTGAAAGGAAAGGCTTTGGGTTTGCATCACAGCCACACCCAAGCAAAGCTGAATTTCGAGCCAAAAAACATGATATTTGTTAAAGACCAAAGAACGAAGAGGTTCACTGAATAGCTCTTCCAATTCCTTGGCCATGCGGGCCCTCTGGCTGACTCTAGCTGCTATCTGGCCCAATCCTCTGCAATCTGTAGTTCCATTTGAAGTCGCTGGCACTCAGACCTTTCCTGTTCAGCAGATTGATTCAAAATCGGCTTTCTATTTCTATATATATATATACATACACATACACATATACATATACATACACATATACATATACATATACATATACATATACACATATATACATATATACATATATACATATATACATATATACATATATACATATATACATATATACATATATACATATATACATATACATATACATATATACAAATACATATACATATACATATATACAAATACATATTACATATATATATATATGTAATAATAATGTATATTGATATATACAAATTATATGTATATAAATATACATAAACAATAAACAACCTACCTGAAGCGGTAACGGTCATTTGAATCCATTGAAATTGTTTTAGGTTAAACCCACCCAAAGAGATGCAACACTCACTTTTTCATGTTCAAAGCCCACCCAGGGAAAGTACTGTGAGGTCCCCCATGTGAGATGTGGCAATGACCACACCATATGGCAACCATCGGACTACCTCGGACGTCCCCACAGAGCTCTGCGCCTGGAGTAGCGGCCCCACCACTTTGAAATAGGATAGTGAGATGGAAACACGATCCATCAGCAACCTGGGCGGAACATGGTGGAACTGCCATCGCAGTTCCAACCTTGGCATCTTCCACTTCACTCATTCATTATATGCAGCACTGTATGCTATCCAAATGCAATGGCCATCACCTATCTCACTTCCTAGATACATACTTTCATAGGGGATGACACTTTGATGGCAGCTCTATATCAATCTATATCAATCTCAATCCCACCAACAAGAAAGTCACTGGATGCGGCTAGAAGCTTTCCCTCCATGTTTTGGTGGTTCTTGGCTCCTGGAATGACCTCCATGAGCGTCTCGGCCACCTGCGACTGCAAACGCTGGCAGCCTCACTGAAAATCAGAAGAATTGACTTGTTTTCATTCCTCGTTTGCTTTCTGCATGTTTGCTTTCATAACCAAAAATAACGCCTACTTTCTCAAAGGCAACCAAATAGCAGTTCAACCCGAATTGTCCGCACCAGACCTCCTTATTTTGGGGAAAGAATCCACTTCGCTGCAGCACTGCCAGGAGCTCTTCAACTGAGAGGTTTCCACCTCAGAAAGAACATCATGGCAGAAATCTTTGCCCACGGATTGGCCAATGACAATTCCTTTGCACCTCTGTTCAATTGAACTTTTCCATTTGTACGACATTGCTGGGAAGCTAGTTGGTTCTCATGACTAGGGTGGCTCATGAGGGCGACCTAGGATTTCCTTGCTGCAGCACCCTAGAAGTGTCGAACCTCCGAGCAAGAACGGCATAGTCATCATGCCAAACTCTACAGCAGGAACCATCTCAACACTCACGAACCATCCCGTGTCTTCCAAATGATCCAAGGGACTCTTGTCTTCATCCGCCTCTGTGAAAAGATCCAATAGCCCCGGCCTCAGCAGACCGGTGATGTTCATGACCCAGAAACGAAAGAGTGGTCAGCTGATAGCCTGCAGACATACTACCGGCGTTTAAACTACAAACCACCGTCGTCCGATCGTACCAAACAAGCTGCACCTCTCCCTTGCTTTTTGGGCGCAGCCAAGTGTCCCTCTAAGTTCTGCGAACTGCGTGCGCACATTGGGGATAATGGTCTGCACAACATCATCAAAATCCACCTGAAACTGCAGAATTGCGCAGAAGCTTGCTTGACACTATGGACAGTTCAAGCCCGAATCTTATCCATCAAAAGCAACTTCAGAGCCAAAATCCTGGATGGACACATGCTCACAGCACATGCTGGTACGGGTACAATAAAAATTTACATCATCTTACTGGGGTCTGTCAGATCTGTCAGATCTGTCAACGGGTACCCACTCAGAAAGTCATCAAATCAGTGGAGCCAGTGGAGATCTGCCTCCAAGGACTCGATCTCCGCAAGGATCTTCCGTAGAATTTCACGCTCCTCGGGGGTCCTGGCACCAGCATGTTGCAACGTTGAAGTTGTTTCTGTTCACAAGGGGAGCTACCATTGACAATGACATGAGTATGTAAGTATGTGTATAATATGTGCAATATATATATATATATACACACACGTATATATTATGATATATCATTATAGCAGATGAATTCAATGCACTCTAGCAAAGAACCTATGAGATTTTTGGGTTCCCATAGAGGAGCATTCTGGCGATTTGTGGGTCTTGCTCTGGGAAATTGCATGTCAGATTGCATGGATCCCAGCTTCCTTGGTCGAAAGCCAAGTTCCGACAGAACCTTCTGTAGGTCTGCCTGGCAAATTCAGATATGCCGATATGCCCCACTGACCTCCAATGATGCGGGACATGGCTTCGCTCCTAGCTACATCTCACATTAAACCAAGTCCACTTACTCCACTTGTGTCTCTAAGTTGGCCCCTGTTTAAACTGCTTCATCTTGCATCTGACTCCACGACTTCTCATCCTTTCAGGGGGAAAGTGACAGCTTTAGGTTCCTCACCAGCCTTGTCGACTTTGCGATTGCTGCAAAGCTGCCGCAAGATGGCCTCCACTTGGAAATGCGTTGGATTATTACTGATCATTAGACCATTAATGTCTGGAGAACTGGCATAATATGTATCAGTGACAAAAAGTATCATATGAACATTCAATCTCCACCAATCATTCCCCCGAGAAAATGTGGAGAGAGCCATGCCGTGCCATGACAGGCACCTGATACGCTTGAGCTTCCTGCCATCGCAGTTGTTGGGGCAGTGGTGTTGATGCAGTGAATCTAGACCGGTAGGGCCGGTATGGGAAAAAATATTAAAAAGGTACATTCACAGAAGTTTTCTAAACTCAAATTATAGCAGTTTTTTACAAGTCAAAAAGTATTTTACAAAAACATAAAAGACTACCATATATTATCTCATTCATTCCACAAAATCACGAGCACCTACCATTTCCACTACCTCATTCATTTCTCAAAATCATCAGTACCTACAATATCTCTACCTCATTCATTTTCTCAAAATCATCACAGTCAATTCATCACACCCTCATTCATTTTCACAAAATCATCACAACTAATCATGTCATCATCTCGTTCATTCCACTAAATCATAACCACCTATCATACTTCACCTCATCCGTTTTTAGAAATCATAACAGTCAATACATCATTACCTCATCCATTCTACATCCAAAAGCAAAACAACCAAACAAAACCAAAAAAAACAGACCAAGCAAAGAACAACACAAAGAACAAAACAATAGACCAACAATAAAGATAAATTCTTAGTCTTGACTAATCCTATTTTAACAGTCCATAAATCGACTAAATAATGTTATTAGAATTATGTTGGGTAAATGTCTTCAATAATTACTAATTTAAAATGAAATGCTTGTCTTCCATAATACTATCGTTATCTTGGTCTTCTTCTATATTGCTTTTTACTTCATCCACTGCGGCATTTAATATTTCTCCCAAATCATCTTCATTTGTATCTTCATAATATTGACTGTGATAATATATATATATATATAAATATATATCTCTAAAACTAAATTCAGTCTCCCCATATTCTTTATCTGGGAGTTTTGCCACTATTTGGGACTTGAATATCAAGTTTAACCCTAAAGTCTAAATTATCTTTGATTTCTTCATACATTAAAGATAGTAATTCTTTCTTTCTTCTGTTATGATGTTTCTTATACTTTTCAAACTAAATGGCACTCCCTCTCTCAAAATACAATACTCTATATACATCTTGTCTCTTTGTCTTATCGTTCTGTCCTTTTTCGGACCAAGTCTTGATACTCTATGTATCCTCTACTCTTCCAATGCTTCACTATGTCTATATTTCATTTTCACATATTCAGGATCTCCATGAGTATATGATACAATATTACTCAATACATCAACAGGCAAATCCTTCATAAAATTCATCCTAATAATATGTACTTAAATAACTATTCTTTCAGCAAATATTCTCAGATTAAAATATATCATTCTTTAAAAACCTACTTAAAGATAAATTAACTAGATAAAATATATACTATTATATGCTGAAAAAAAATATAGACTATTTACTAAGTAATGATTTAGCAGAAATACCAAAACGAGGAAGGAGAGAATTAAAGTCAATCACAATAGATGATAAAAAGATTTAGATACAACAAAGACAAACCAATATCTACTGTTTTAACAAAGAAACTATTAACAGTAAAGAAAACTAATGAATACAGAAGTTATGCTTTAAACAAGGCAAAAGATGCGTTCAGTGAAGGAAGAGTGAGACAAATACTGACCAAACACGCAATCAGAAACAAATTTAGGGTCAGAGATATTCAATCCGCATTCAGAAGATATGCTAATTCAATAGTTTTAGAAAATAGACACTTTGAAGGAGAAAGAGGACTGGAAATGATTGCACACCAAAAACCAAGACTAGTAGAATTTTTAAGAAAGAATAGAAGCGTGAAACTTAAGATAAGAACAGAAGCACTCTTTGAAAAACCTGAATATGATGATGGAGGAAATGACATCGGCAGTCAAGAACTTGTATATGCTTTACCTTCAACCCGCTTCAATATCAGTAATGAGGATGAACTGACACAAGCATTAGAAGACAGTGTTAAACAAATCTTATTACAAATACAAAATTTAGAAGCATTAGCATCGAATTTACGTTTCAAAAATATTTTATCAATAACCATTCATTATGACAGATATGACCCAACAAGGGCAGGGAGATACATAGAACTACCAGAATGGATTAAATTAAAAGGCATGTATCAACATTAAAAACAAAGACCAAAAATGTTTTAGATATTGTATTCAATCGGTAGTCTATGACAAAATAAGCAAACATCACCCAGAAGAAATGTTCCACTACAATAAACTAAAAGATGATATTTTGAACTGGGATGGTGTAAATTTTCCGACTGGTAATAGGGACATAGACAGATTTGAAGAGAACAATAAATTAGTTTCAATAAATGTTTTTGAACCTGATGACTGCTTAAATGATAATAAAATCATATTACATAGAGGCACTAAAAATACAAATGCCAAATATGAGATTGATTTATTAAAGGTCTATGATGAAGACAACAAGTATCACTATGTTTTAGTAAAAAACAAAAGTAGATTACTTAACTGTCAAAGCAACACTAATACAAAGCAAAAACACTACTGTCACCATTGCTTAAATCCATTTCAATCAGAAAAGGCATATAAGAACCATCTTGAAAAAGGATGTATGGCATCAGAAGGACAACAAACAAAGATGCCAAATAAAGACACGTATATAGAATTTGAAAAGCATAATACTAAATTGCCTTGTCCTTTTGTAATCTATGGTGATTTTGAATGTCTAACCACTAACTCTAATACTGAAATGAAGGGAACTTACGGCACCGAAGGTGCCCTAGTTGCTCTGGAAGCAGTGCTCCCAGAGGAACTTACCAAGAACATAAACCTTGCGGTTATATGTTGAATATTGTAAGCAGGATTGATAATACTTGCAAACCGTATTTATACAGAGGTGAGGATTGTATGAAACAGTTTGTAGAACAACTGACCGAAATTAAGAAAGATATTTTTGAAAAAATGAATGTTAATAAACCAATGGATGAATTAACAAACGAACAAAAATTAGAGTTTAAATTATCGTCTCATTGTTCCATCTGCGGTAAGAAATTTGAACCTGATGATGAGAAAGTCCGCGACCACTGCCACTTCACAGGCAAATACAGAGGCGCAGCGCATGTAAAATGTAATCTGGATTATTCATTTAGATATTTTAAAATCCCTATCTTCTTTCATAATCTTAAAAACTATGACGCTCACTTAATCATTGCCAGAGCAAATGAACTAAACATAGAACTAAACCAAAACAAAAGAATAGAGGTAATAGCACAAAACAGCGAAAAGTTCATAACCTTTTCATTTGGTGCCTGTCAGTTTAAAGATAGTTTTGCTTTCTTAACTGCGTCATTGGATAAACTAGTTAGATTAAACAAATATGAGGGAAACGAAAAGATTAAAGATTGGGAAACTCGTTTCAGATATACAAGCACCAACCCATACATTAAATGGATGCTCTGGTGAATAATCACTAAAATCCATCTATTCATTAATCTCCTTAAAGTCTTCATATATGTCATCAGTCTCAACTTTTATTACATAACCATCAGTATCAGTATATACCAACTTGATATTATCTTGATATTTTGGTTTCAAAACATCACAATAGAAGGAATACATGTGAATTTTAGAATAGTCTAAATGGACATACCCATGTAGATAGGTTTGTTTAGTTCCACTGTGTGTTTATCTTTTTCAACAATTACAAGGCCTTCATTTATGATATACCTGTGCTTGAATAGCGGTTTATTTACCAGTTTTTGGAAGCGTTCAGGCGCTATCTCATAATCACCATGCTTTCTTACATTCTCCATGGTCTTGCCATATACACTGTTGTTCATTAGCTTAAACAAATCTTTTTCAAAATCATTTTTGGCATTCCTTCTCTTTTCGGTGTTGAATTCAATGAATGGTTTTAAGAAATTTGCTTGCTTAAAACTCATCGCTCTATGGACTTTTCTAAGACGTAATCCATGTTGTAAATAGAACTTCAATGCTGATATATGTAAAACATACTTCTTTTTACCCATAACATTTAATATTAATTTATTTGCCTTTTCATCACTGGCATCCTTTCCGTAATAGTATGTGTGTATATCCTTTTGGACTTGTGAAAGCATACTCTCATTGATACACATGATTTCAGGTGCTAATGGATAGTCTTTATGTAAATCATGTAGTTCTTTTGGGTAATCTAAATCAACTTCTAATATGTATCCTATGTCATCATCATCACTATATTTCATTACCCTCTTCTCATCCATTCTGCCGTAATACCATTTAAAATCACCATATGGCAGTTTCTTACACATTGTTAATCCGTAAAGGTTATTAGCATCTAAATAACTTATGGATGATGAAGGTTTGGATTTATCATAATCTTCATTCATGTATTTATTGTTTGCTTCTACTTTCTTAAAGGAGCACTGCGTCATTCCTCCTCTTAATCCATGTGCAATCATCTCATACATTTCTTTTATGTGTACTTGTTGTAGTCTAACTCCTGTCAATGATAAAAACGCATTCCAAGAATAGTTAGGTAAAGTGATATAATATGCTGGGTCTAAACCATAATAGTTTAAGCACATGTCCCAAAAATTTTCAAATACATCGGTTAGTAAATATACATCAGTCATCAAATATAAATCATGATATTCACCAAGGTTTTTAATGTGAAAATGTTTCCATACAATATTTGCTCTGGCGTAGTCTTTGTCAGCTATGTTTTCTTTATATAATTGACTGTAAAAGTCTTCTTTCTTTGGTAGTTTTGTTTCATCAAATTTATCCCATGAATTCATATAGTCGTATGGATAGACACCCTTATCAGTCAGTAAATTCAAATCAGTTTTAGATTTAATGTATGGGTTGGTGCTTGTATATCTGAAACGAGTTTCCCAATCTTTAATCTTTTCGTTTCCCTCATATTTGTTTAACCTAACTAGTTTATCCAATGACGCAGTTAAGAAAGCAAAACTATCTTTAAACTGACAGGCACCAAATGAAAAGGTTATGAACTTTTCGCTGTTTTGTGCTATTACCTCTATTCTTTTGTTTTGGTTTAGTTCTATGTTTAGTTCATTTGCTCTGGCAATGATTAAGTGAGCGTCATAGTTTTTAAGATTATGAAAGAAGATAGGGATTTTAAAATATCTAAATGAATAATCCAGATTACATTTTACATGCGCTGCGACTCTGTATTTGCCTGTGAAGTGGCAGTGGTCGCGGACTTTCTCATCATCAGTTTCAAATTTCTTACCGCAGATGGAACAATGAGACGATAATTTAAACTCTAATTTTTGTTCGTTTGTTAATTCATCCATTGGTTTATTAACATTCATTTTTTCAAAAATATCTTTCTTAATTTCGGTCAGTTGTTCTACAAACTGTTTCATACAATCCTCACCTCTGTATAAATACGGTTTGCAAGTATTATCAATCCTGCTTACAACATTCAACATATAACCGCAAGGTTTATGTCCTTGGTAAGTTCCTCTGGGAGCACTGCTTCCAGAGCAACTTAGGGCACCTTCGGTGCCGTAAGTTCCCTTCATTTCAGTATTAGAGTTAGTGGTTAGACATTCAAAATCACCATAGATTACAAAAGGACAAGGCAATTCAGTATTATGCTTTTCAAATTCTATATACGTGTCTTTATTTGGCATCTTTGTTTGTTGTCCTTATGATGCCATACATCCTTTTTCAAGATGGTTCTTATATGCCTTTTCTGATTGAAATGGATTTAAGCAATGGTGACAGTAGTGTTTTTGCTTTGTATTAGTGTTGCTTTGACAGTTAAGTAATCTACTTTTGTTTTTTACTAAAACATAGTGATAATTATTGTCTTCATCATAGACCTTTAATAAATCAATCTCATATTTGGCATTTGTATTTTTAGTGCCTCTATGTAATATGATTGTATTATCATTTAAGCAGTCATCAGGTTCAAAAACATTTATTGAAACTAATTTATTGTTCTCTTCAAATCTGTCTATGTCCCTATTACCAGTCGGAAAATTTACACCATCCCAGTTCAAAATATCATCTTTTAGTTTATTGTAGTGGAACATTTCTTCTGGGTGATGGTTGCTTATTTGTCATAGACTACCGATTGAATACAATATCTAAAACATTTTTGGTCTTTGTTTTTAATGTTGATACATGCCTTTTTTAATTAAATCCATTCTGGTAGTTCTATGTATCTCCCTGCCCTTGTTGGGTCATATCTGTCATAATGAATGGTTATTGATAAAATCTTTTTGAAGCGTAACTTAGATGCTGATGCTTCTAAAATTTGTATTTGTAATAAGATTTGTTTAACACTGTCTTCTAATGCTTGTGTCAGTTCATCCTCATTACTGATATTGAAGCGGGTTGAAGGTAAAGCATATACAAGTTCTTGACTGCCGATGTCATTTCCTCCATCATAATATTCAGGTTGTTCAAAGAGTGCTTCTGTTCTTATGTTAAGTTTCACGCTTCTATTCTTTCATAAAAATTCTACTAGTCTTGGTTTTTGGTGTGCAATCATTTCCAGTCCTCTTTCTCCTTCAAAGTGTCTATTTTCTAAAACTATTGAATTAGCATATCTTCTGAATGCTGATTGAATATCTCTGACCCTAAATTTGTTTCTGATTGCGTGTTTGGTCAGTATTTGTCTCACTCTTCCTTCACTGAACGCATCTTTTGCCTTGTTTAAAGCATAACTTCTGTATTCATTAGTTTTCTTTACTGTTAATAGTTTCTTTGTTAAAACAGTAGATATTGGTTTGTCTTTGTTGTATCTAAATCTGTTATCATCTATTGTTATTGATTTTAATTCTCTCCTTCCTCGTTTTGGTATTTCTGCTAAATCATTACTTAGTAAATAGTCTATAACTTGTTCATCATATAATAGTATATAATTTATCTAGTTAATTTATCTTTACGTAGGTTTTTAAAGAATGATATATTTTAATCTGAGAATATTTGCTGAAAGAATAGTTACTTAAGTATATATTATTAGGATGAATTTTATGAAGGATTTGCCTGTTGATGTATTGAGTAATATTGTATCATATACTCATGGAGATCCTGAATATGTGAAAATGAAATATAGACATAGTGAAGCATTGGAAGAGTAGAGGATACATATAGAGTATCAAGACTTGGTCCGAAAAAGGACAGAACGATAAGACAAAGAGACAAGATGTATATAGAGTATTGTATTTTGAGAGAGGGAGTGCCATTTAGTTTGAAAAGTATAAGAAACATCATAACAGAAGAAAGAAAGAATTACTATCTTTAATTTATGAAGAAATCAAAGATAATTTAGACTTTAGGGTTAAACTTGATATTCAAGTCCCAAATAGTGGCAAAACTCCCAGATAAAGAATATGGGGAGACTGAATTTAGTTTTAGAGATATATATTATCACAGTCAATATTATGAAGATACAAATGAAGATGATTTGGGAGAAATATTAAATGCCGCAGTGGATGAAGTAAAAAGCAATATAGAAGAAGACCAAGATAACGATAGTATTATGGAATACAAGCATTTCATTTTAAATTAGTAATTATTGAAGACATTTACCCAACATAATTCTAATAACATTATTTAGTCGATTTATGGACTGTTAAAATAGGATTAGTCAAGACTAAGAATTTATCTTTATTGTTGGTCTATTGTTTTGTTCTTTGTGTTGTTCTTTGCTTGGTCTTTTTTTGTTTGGTTTTGTTTGGTTGTTTTGCTTTTGGATGTAGAATGGATGAGGTAATGACGTATTGACTGTTATGATTTCTAAAAACGGATGAGGTGAAGTATGATAGGTGGTTATGATTTAGTGGAATGAACGAGATCATGATTAGTTGTGATGATTTTGTGAAAATGAATGAGGGTGTGATGAATTGACTAATGAATGAGGTAGAGATATTGTAGGTACTGATGATTTTGAGAAATGAATGAGGTAGTGGAAATGGTAGGTGCTCGTGATTTTGTGGAATGAATGAGGTAATATATGGTAGTCTTTTATGGTTTTGTTTGCGAATAATTTTTGACTTGTTGAGTTTAGAAAACTTCTGTGAATGTACCTTTTTAATATTTTTTAGGGGATGTCCACAACCACTGATATCCGTGGTAAAATTCCAGATCGACGAAAATTTGGACTGATGGAATTTGAGGATTTCGACTTTGATGAATTATCACGTCATATCACGTCTTTTGCTTCAGTTTTTCCCACAGTAATTCAGCAAGAAAACTTCCACAGCATACTCGGGAATAACGTTTCGATCCTTTCCCAGAAAACCTATATCATGAATCTCATCGTCGTTGGACTTTGCGTTCTCACATCTTCTCAATGAAATTGACGTGACCTGCCACTCACTTCAGACTCATTTTACACTCGTTTGGGATTCTGACCAGATAATTAGGTAAAATCATGTAAAATCATGTGAAATCAAGTAATAACTGGGTGATGCTTCATATTTCTGAAGTTGGCAACAAACAGCGACCCATACTGGGTTCATCCCTGGCCTTAGGCTTAATGTTGGAGAGGAACTCCGTCACGTTCACCTCTGGACAGCTAGGCTGCACCAGGCTTTGATAGGATCCAGGTAGGTCATCTTTGTACTGTAAGTTTTGGAAGATGTTCTTCCCTTCTCGAAGGATCCAGGTCCAATTCCAGGGGCCTTGTGGGTGTTTTTTGCACCTTTGATCCCGGGACGCAGAAAATCCTTGATGAATCAATCCATGCAAGGCTGCAAGACTCTGACAGCATCAATCGGGAGAATGTCTCCCCTTGTCAGATAGCCAGCGGCTTGGCCCAATGCCCAATGATGCCCAATCCGTCTTGTTCTCTGATTTTTCAACAGGTTCCCACCTATTTGCCCGATCCGTGTCAAATGGATGTCCAAAATTCACCAAAATTCTGCTCTGGGCACCTCAGTGTCTTCCAAGAACATGGTGGTTCTATATTGCAGAGCCAGCTTCCTGGCCTTCTCTCCTGAGACTCTGCGATCTGCACCGCTGAAGGGCTGGAAGTTTCTTGTTTGACTTGTTTGATCATGATTGTCTTGTTGCGTAGTTTCAGCAGGTCAGTTCGATCCTCTTGGAGGACGGTTGTTTTATTGATGTGTTGTTGATGCGCATATTTGTTGTAGCTGATTCTGATGCTATGTGTTGAGAAGATGGGCAGAATCCCACCAACTCAGTAGCGGCTCATCCCAAACTTTCCAGAGGGTCGTCAGGTGCAGCCGGGAAGCGCTGCGTGCGTTTCCGCATCAAAGTCAGTCTCCAGTTCCTCTCCTGTCCTCGTGAGGCTCCAAAGGACACTAACCCATGATTTTAGCACCAATCGATGTCATCCAGTTTACATATGTCATATGAGTCATATGTGCAATGATGTGTGTCTGATGTATGTAAATGTACGGACGTGTGCGTGGGTGGTGCTCTGCCATTCTCTGCCGAGGCACCCATATTGTGAGATCGGGACTTCAGTCTTTCCAGTACCTGATCAGGCTGAAAGAGGTAGCCTTCAACATGCAGTTCTTGAAATGTCGGGGCTACAAAGCAAACCTCACCACGACATCTCTGCATTTCCAACGATCTATGCATGTATAGTTAATATGTATATACATACATATATTGATGTATACTGGCATATTGTGTGTATATGTTGTGTATGTATGTGTATGTATGTGTATGTATGTGTATGTATGTGTATGTATGTGTATGTATGTGTGTATATATAGTTAATTATATGTACATATACAACAGAGATAGTATATACATGCACTGACATGTCCAACCCATCAAACACTGTGTCGCTGATTCCATCACCCAGCAGTCACGCGGTCAGTCACCGGCGTGCGCTCGTCCAGCCCAAAGAGCGACTGGGCGGGATCCAGTGGGCACGCACTGAGATGTTGCGAGTTTGAGTTCAAAAAACAACATCTTTGGAAACGATGATCCACAAGTCTGGGATCTTTCATCTTTGGTCACAGTTCACAAGGCAGGTTCCTCAAATGCACCCAATAACGAACAATAGATGCAACTGTGATCAGGTGGAAGGAAAAGGTCCCTCAGAATCCTTCAATTTGGAGCTGAAAAGGAAGAGCATAAAACAGCATGGAACAGCATAAAACAGCATTATTCATGGCAAATGCTGGCCGAACCTGTGAGAAGTCGGTACTTTGCGTTGGCCAAAAGTGTGCAGGGGTTGGAGGTCGTGACGGTGGCCCCGAGGGTGCCTGAAGCGCGCGTTTACACACTGTTTCCGAGGCCCGCCATGATATCTTGCCAAAGCACCAAAAAGTTATTCAAACATATCACTGATATCACTGAAATCATCAAAATAGATGAAAATAGTATAAAATAATCAATAAAATAATCAACATTAAATCACCAATCGAATCACTAAATCATGAAATCATGCCTGGAATCGGAGTTGGGGCACCTCGAATCCATCAGGAAGACCGCTGGGGAGCTCATCCTGGCGTCAAATCAGCCATGAATAATACCAGCACGTTCTGATTCTCGGATTTACATGAGTAATAGAATGTAATAGAATGCTTAACAGAATGCTATAGGGATTGAGATGATTCTGGAGTTTGGCGGATTCCAATCAGTGACGAAAAGCCTTGATTCGTCTCCCCTGGATGTTCAAAGCTGTGGGAAAATCCTGCCTCTTGTTGATTGTTGCGGGGTAGAATCTTTCATGTCTCTTTAGATTGGCAGTACTTATTGTCGGAAGATTGGCACAAAGGGATTTGTTCAACCTACTAGTTCAACCGCTCACATATTTTTCCAGCAATCTTGGGAGTAGAAAAAACCTTGAACACCGAGAGCTTAGGATGCTTAGGAACCATGCCTCCTCATCATCCAGCGGCGGTGGCGTAGGAGGCTTTCTGGCCAAATGCCTAGGAGCCGTCATACCACATAACATCACATAACTAATATGATCCATTGGAGAACATCCATAGTCCATAGCCCGATTCCAACATCCCTTCCCACTATGCCCAGTGGCTGGAGCAAAAGCCACCGCACCTGCCATCGTGAGAGAAACCACAACAGTTGCAGTGGCTTCTTGAAAGAAAAACCCAACACCGCCACAAGGACAATTGTTCAGCATTTTGACGACAAATGGTCGTCGCCCCAAGCCAAGTAAGCCACTCAACGTCTGACACATGTTAGCGGAGCGATCTGAATCCAAATCTCAAGAGATTCGTCAGGTTCAGACGCCGTTTGGCGTTACATAGCTCCCCACCCGGAACCCTTGGATATTCACCTGGTACAAAGGCTCCCTAGCATCACGGCGCTTCCGCCAGAGTGCAGCTTGCTCACGCTCACGTAAGCCAGCCTGACGTGTCTGATGCCTGTGGAGAATGTCCCTTTCGAATCCGTTCGACCTTTCATCGCAATTCCGACGCAATGGGATGGTAGGTGAACCCTATGGCCCCATTGTGAACCCTGTGAAGGGGGTGAACCGAACCCAATTCCTGCCACGATCGAGATAGGCCAGGCCTGTCGCTGGCAATCCATGCGGTGCAATGCAAAGGCTGCCTCAAATGATAAGAATCATGGCAGAGTTTTGAAGCTTGCGCATTTGAACACCACGAAAGGAATATCATAGTATTTTAATCTGCCCTTTTGGCTCCCTCCCAAACCTGGAACTCGGTTTGTTTTGTTCATCTGGCTGTGGACTTCAGCTTCATTGCCATAACAATCAGAAACAATCTTCAAGCGATCTTTGTCCCACTTCCCAAATGTCTGCTCTTTCAGTGAGGTTCTAACAAACCCCAAAATACAAAGGCTGCCACTTCGATGAAACTGGTGGTTGGGGCCAAATCGGTGGCCTTGATGTTCAGTCGATGGATCCAGTTTGACACCAGCCAGGTGCCAGGCAATCTCCGCATCGTGCTCCGAGATCTCGTCGTCAATGCTCTGACGATAGATGCCAAAGCCAATGGTCTCCTGGGGCCAAATGTATCCAAACGCCTCATTGGAACCCCATTTTAACCGACCAGAAAATGGGAATCACTACCAACAACCACCTGTTTTGGTTGCGTTTCAAAGCCCCAACAAGGCGTTGCATTTACTAAATCCTGTTTTATGCCCAATTGCCCAAAATTTGGAAGCTTCTCGTTGAAGAAAGATAATACAACCATGGAATGCAAGCAAAGTTGCATGAGCAACTTTGGGCAAAGAGTTTCATGTGCTCTTTCTTCAGGACAAAAAAAAATCAAAAAAATGATGTTGGAGACGGAGAATGGGACCCTCTAGTCTAATCATGTCTAATCTACCAGCAGATGTCCACCATCCTTGGTATAAGCAGCTTCTCGCAAGCTGAAGGGAGACATAGGTCGCCTCAGTTCAGGTTGGGCAGAGTCTGGCAGAGCGTTCTCCCGGTCAGAGGTCGTGACAGTTCCAACAAGTAATGGCCACTGCTTGTAGACTCTCCCAGGATCGAAAGTCCACTGCGAATGATGGGGCTACAATGGGCTACAGCATCATCCAGGATTTTTGAGGCACCAGGGTCACCAGGCTGGTATGTATTGCAATCATAATATATCATAATGATGTACATGTATACATGTATATTATATTATATTATATTATATTATATTATATTATATTATATCATATTATATTATATTATATTATATCATAATTATATCATAATTATATCATAATTATCCCTCAATTCTCACTTTCTTAGCTGCATCCGCACCAGCGGCTTCTCGTGCCTCGAACGCCAAGTGGAGGACATCGTCGATAAGCTCCAGCCATCCTGCCCAGGCCATAGTGCCAAAGCCGAAGATGTTCGACCCAATATGATGGATGTTGTAGCAGGAACACCATTGAAAAAATAACAAAGATATTTTATATATATATATTATATATATATATATTAAAAACCTGTTGGTTGGTTCCCGATTTTCAGGAAATCAGCAAAATCATTTCGAAAGAACCATCTCTACGAAGCCTCTACTGGTTCAAGAAGCATTGATGCCTGTTCTCGGCGTGCAGCCACGCGAGGCACTCGAGGACGTCTCGCCTTTCAAAGTTAATCTTTTTGGAGACTGTCATCACTAGAACCCAAGCATCTTCTACTCTTTTCCCACACACTTCATATTCATTTACCGTTGTGGGAACTATCATGACTATACTCTAAGATACTCTAAGGCATCGTCCAAAATGAACAATGCAAGACTCAAGAATTAATGATTTAAATTGACTAAGCCTAGTTGAGCCTGGACAATAGACATCAATAGACTGTGAGATGACTGTGAGGCAGTGGAGAGCTATGATTCTATGATAGTGTTCACATCTTGCCTTCTCCACCTTCACCACTGCTGGAAGTGCCACCTCCTGTACAGCTTTCTCGTGGCCTAACAAGAGATTCGGGGGGGAAGGTCGAAGTCGAACCTGGAAAAAGTCGGCTAGGCGTGGAGCACTAACAAAAAGATAGGTGCGTGGTCTCCGTGATGCAAGGAAGTGTACAAGTCAGCACTTTCAACAGGATTGAAATGTTCACTAACAATTCATCTACCCAATCAAGACAACGATAGAGATCTGAATTACAAAGGTCATGTCAAATGTGTAGGACCACAGTAAAGAGACGTCTTTTGCTTTGTTTGCACACTGCAAACACTCCTTTCAGATCCTTTCAGCATTTCTTCCAGCGAAAAAGAACAAGGCAGAAACAGATGGCACATGATGGCACCCACCAAATCAGCGGATGTAGCTTGCAAAACACAGGTGAAATGTCCGTGATATGTCCGACTACTTCTTTTTCATCCAAACTCAATTTATATCTTCGATGCCTTGTTGGGCTGCAGCATGGGGACGGAGCGCCTGGAAGGAGTGTGAGGGCCCGCCCTAGGGCCCTCCCAAAAGTCGAACCGCATTCTGTTATGCGACTTTGAAATATCCTAGCTAGGTACGCGTGTCTGCCAAGCCAACTGCACTTTCACTGTGAGATGCGCCGAACCCTATCAATGCCAGATACAACTTATTTGTGATTTGCTTATTCAGCTGAAACAAATATTAGCTATATAAGTGAATCGGAATGAGTTTGCCCTCAAAGCGGACATCGGATGAAAAATCAAGAAAATGAAGAAACCAAAGATGGCCAACGGCTGCTGCCAGTACGAAATGTACCAAGCATTAAGCCACGCACCCGAGGGCGTCTCGCCTCGGGGCTGGTAGACCAAATGTTACTTAGAACAAAAACGACCACGCTACATCTGTTGGTAGATCAAATGTGTTGCTGAAAACACCAAGTGTTGTACATGTTTGTTTCTGATTTTCAAACATGCCGCAAACTTCACAACGGCAGATATGAGGTGACCTAAGGTGACCTAAGGTGGGAAATTGGCCATGCCTTCCCCGGCCTTCTCGACCTCGAGCTTCTCAACTTTCTCCTTCTCCACCTTCACCACGGGAAGTAGCACTTCCTGCACCGCCTTCTCATGGCCTGACGCGATCCCATTGGAAGACAACTACTGTGTCATGGTCAAAACATGGGATGTGGGTTGTGGTCATCCCGCTATCATGAGGGATTCAGTATGGAGGGTAAATCAACCCCTGCTAATTGGGAGCATAACCATCGCATTTTATGGGAAACTAACCAAGGTTTTGACCATGGCACAAACGGCAGTTCCAATCCGCTGCCTCTTTGGGTTGCCGGGGTGTGGGCATGGAGCACCTCAGTAACCAATCTGGAAGTGGAAATTTCACCTGTGTGAGATGTGCTGCAACGGGGCTCCCCACTGGCTGTTGTAGACGTTCAGCCAAGGAATCTTCTGGCACGTTGCAAGAATCCACGTCCAAGGTTTCAAAGCGGGTATTCGGGTATGGAACAAAATGATCCAGCTACGTGGAACCAATGGTCTTGCAATATGCAAATACATGCAGATACCCAGTATGAAACATTGAACTGTGTGTGTGTATGCACCAAGTATATACTTCCACACTGAGAAAATGCTATATTATTTAGTGACCATATATGGTTTGCTGAAGCCTCTGCTGGTTTGGGATCTGAAATAGTTGAGCCAGGACCAGTCATCAGTTGTTGTGGGACTGGTCCCAAAGGTCTTCAAACAAATCCACAGAAATGGTCATCCTGCTCTTTTGGTCTATGAAACCTTATCAAAGTGGCTTTCACCAGAAAGAATCCACTGAGAAGCTCAAACGACCAAACTCGGCCAAATGTCAGCCAAGACTCTTGGCTGAAGCTCAGGGAAGAGTTTTCCCATCTACTACTGCCGCCACCTCACCTGCCGCATCGGTGGCCATAGGGGGTTGTGACTTCACCCCTATGGTGGATCCTTTGATATCCTGAGTCATCTCGCTGTTCACCAAAACAGGTGCTGGTGGGGTGGTCTTGTGTTGTCACTTGACATTGAGACTTACGAAGTTTGAGTGGCCAAAGTGCCTCCTGAGGATGGTCAGCCCCCAAAGGACAAAAAAATCCCTGTGAATTTGTGCTGGCTGGGACCGTTGGCTAGCTAAAACAAACAGCTGGTGGATACTACAGACTTGTATCCTGAGAAACAGTGTTGGAGGCCATGGTGAATGAGAACCGAGAAGGAAAATTGCTGGGAAACTCCGCTCAAATACCATGCGAATACTGGTAATTGTGCATGCTGACTATCTTCGAAAACAGTTTGTTCTGCCACTAAAGGGCCCACCAGCTTTGAATTCCAAAAGACCCTTTTCCCAGCAGATAGCCGCAGATAGCCTCAGAAAGTTTCAGTGGAAGGGTTGGCATTCTGAACCATGGATCTGAAAAGTCTGGCATCGGAAGTCTGAACCCTCAACCTTCATCAACCTTCTACATCGACAGGATTCACCAGGTCAGTCTTCAGTTCGCTTGATCGCACCCGCATCCCATGAGTTCCAACAGCCCGCAAAGCCTACGGCACATTGCATCACCAGCTCCCATGGCGTTAGGCGGCGAACAGCTGTGACGTGGTTTCACCCAACATTTTTGGGCTTGGGGTTGGTACATTATAAACCTTGATGGCCCCTGGTACTAGTGACTCATGGGTGGGGGGGAGCCAACCCCAACCAGCCATGCACAAAAACTTCCAGTATAAGGATGGGTCATCAGTGTTGAAATGGTGCCAAAGGGTAGCGATCTAGGCCCCAACAATTTGAGCGTAATTATTCTGATGAGGAGCTAAGCGGCACTTCATTGCTGGCCGCTTGATTCCAGGGTGCTTGCCTGCCCGGATTGTCATGTTGACGCTACAGGGGCCAATTCCTCGAAATGGCAGCGGACCAATGAATCATCTCTGCAAAATGAGCGTGTTTGCAAACAAATGACATCATCTCTGTCATGATGTGCTGCCACTGGAAAGAATTTCTCTCCAGCTGCGAGGGTAGCGTTGACTCTCCACTTCCCAAGCAAATAACAAGAGAATGAAAAATGGTGAGCAAACAATTCGCTGCTGAGAACAGGTTGGTGTTACCGTGACCTGATGGTGCTGGCGGCTTGCTGGGTGACCTGCTCCAGCGTCTTGGGGTTGAGCCTCAGGAAAGCACAAAGCCGCCCTGGAGAAACTCAACGCTTAACAAAGGGTGGTCAAACGTGAATCCAAACGATTCAAACAGCAGTACGATGAATTCATCCACAGCTTTAGTCAAACAGAACAGGGGTAGGTAGGACCCTTGCCTATTGATTTCATGGGCTGCACTGCTGGGTGTTTGCATGCCGTCACTTCACAAGAGCCTGTGCTAATATTGGCAACTTCAACAGGTGTTCCAAGGATTATCCTTCGATCTACGACAGCCAGGGCTACTCTTGTTGTGACTTCACCTATGTCACTTTGGTTCGGGTCATCTTCAATAATCTTCGCAAATGTGCTTGTTGTTTTGTCCCAAATACAGTAGAGGGAAAGAGCAAACTCGCTGCAGGATATATTGGAATAAACCAAATGCGGATTCCTAGACCATACTTTGAAGGTACCTTTTTGCGCTCCGCTGGAGACAATTTTACTCATGTTGTCGCGACAGTCGCAGGACTCATCTTCAACTCTGTGGTCATACCCAGCGCACCACAACCATAAGATTGCAAAAAACTGTTCAATCAAGTCTTAAAAAAAGGAGTTTCGGCATAAAGCTAATACTATAAACATGGTTCTTCATTTCCGGTTGTACCGCAAACTGGAACAATGAACATGGCACACAAAAAAAAAAACACATCTACCTGAAATATCGATATGAGTACAAGTCTTGCAACGTTAGATCCCGCCCCCGGATCATTCAAGCGCTTTGGTCGCCATGGCCAATGCCCCCTCTTTCGTCCTTGGTTCGGCAAGATGCTGAAAATGTCAACAGGTCCCTCAGCAAAAGAAAACACCGCTGAGGATGTTGATCATCAGATCATTCGGGAACCTTGTGAGTTACTCCCGAGGGTCCTGTTCACAAGTTCTCTTTTTTCACTTTTAGCTGTAGCTATTGTGAACTCCCGGTTGCTTCGTAGCAAGGCACGCATTGCCACCGATGAACCCGGCAGCATGTACAAAAATGCAGCCTCACACCACTCTGTGCCACTCTGGTACTGATGGACCTTGATTGGTTCAAGTGCCTTCTTGGCTGTACATTGCTGTGCATGCTGTAGCATATCCAGTGGTTTCATCATTTGCCACCTAAAATGCAGTATCTAAAGTTGTCTAGCTGTGTTACAGCTATTTTGTTTGAAATCTATAGCAGCCTCTATTCACAGGACCATTCACAATCCAAGTGCAATGCTGAATCTGTATGGAGATCAACTGCATCTTAAGCCCAACTGTGCACCTGGAATCTCGGACAATTTCGAGAGCTCATCGTCTCGCACGCCACGCCATGCGCTTGGGAGACCCTGCCTTGACGTGGCAAGACCGATATCCTTGAAATCTTTCCTCTTATGAGGTTCTCGGTCTCAGGGTATCCAACCGTGTTTACTTTACATTCTGTTGTGAAATCATGTGCTCACGAAGGAGTGTAGAGGATGCAAACTCGCCGATTGATGGAAAAAGGAAGCCTGGTCAGAGGATCACAAAACGGCTATACATGCTTGCACGGAACGATTGTGAAAAGCACTGACTTTGATCCAAGTTCAAACCCAAATCAGATCAGTCATTGATTAGATGCAAAAGCTACATGTTTTTTGGTTGAGGAAGGCTGTTCAAGAACAAACCTTTACCCCCACAATGGCGTCTACATCCTGTTCTCTTCGGCGCCTTAGTTCGAAGCTGCCTCTCGTTTTGGGGGCTGCTTGAACGCGCCAGCCGGCCCGGCTGTCCTGCAAACACTTATTTTGGAGCAGCCCGTCCATGAGTTGGCTCGAGATGTCCAGCTCTATGATTCTTTCTTCACTATCCTTCCCCGGAGCCGGCCTGAAAGATAACGTACTTCACCAAAGGACTTCGATATTCCTCTCGAAACGTGTGGCCAACGGAAGTTCGAAGTACGAGTACCAGTATGGCCAGTATGGTTTCTAAACCTTCCAAGCATGACTGGTTTGAGACACTGTCCAGCCGTGAATATTGTGCATGTGACAGAACACTTTCTCCAAAGTCAACGCAAACTTGGTAAACTCCGAACGTCCCTCGTCACCGTGTCCCCTGAAACAAAAAGCTCATTGTTGGCTTTGACCTTTAAAGACGTGCCACCTGAATCTCACTCCAAAAGCTTCACTGGCCTCCTCTTCTTCCTCCAAGTCAAAGAGGTGATCTTGCCAAGGGCAGAACTGCTCGAGGGTCATGATCTCATTCAACAAGCGAAGGTCCCAGTGAATCCAGCTGTATATGTCAGGAAATCACCCAGGCTGGTCGTTTCATACAGAGGTACCAGCAGCAAAAAGATGGAAAGTGTCACAAAAGGTTATTATCTTGACGTGGATGGCGGCCACTCGTAGCGCCCATTTGAGTGTGTATCAAATGAACTTGATACCGGCAGGTCATAAGACACGTCAAGAACTGAAAAACAGTTAGCTGTCAATAAAAAGATCAAAGGATTCGGCAGGATGAATCTTAATAATGGATATTATAAGTGTGACTTACGCCAAAGTGTCACAAAGGGTCTCCATGCCTTGCAGTCTTGCACTGGTGGCACAAACGGCATGGCAGCCAAGCACAACACTAGTTGGAAGATTTAACTGGCAGGGTACCTTGCCTCGCAGGAAGGATGGACTTCTTTCCGCTTATGCAATGCCTGTGAAATCCGGACCCTCAAAGATCCACCACCCAGGCCCAAAATCAACCAACCTCAAGACCATGTGTTTTCGCATGAAAGGTGTTCCCAACTTTGGATGGTGTTGGGGCCCGTCGTTTTAAGAAACCCCAAAGGAAAGACTGAAAGTAAAATGGTGCATCCTTCAGAATGGCCCTTCCAGGGGGTGACTAGGTTTGTCAAACCGAGGCAAAGACTTGAACTTCTGATGCTGACGTAGGGAGTGCTTGGTACCGCAAGCGTATTTTCCACTTGCTGATGATCTGCTGATGTTTCCCATTCATTTCAACCGCCAAACTCGGATCCAAGGTAAAGGGTGCAGAGCATGACCATCCGTATGGAGTGTTCATCGGTGCCGATCCCCATCCATCTACAAACCCGTGTTTCACATCGTTTGCGCATGTTTCACATCCACATTGTTTCCATGGTGTTTTTTCACATCCCCCATGTTTCATGTTTGAAATCTCCATGGTTCGCTTAAAATCCCACCAGCTTCATCCCAGCTGCCCTGTGCCCCCCGTGTGGCAACCTGGCCTCCTCTACCAGCGAGCGCGCCGGTAGCCAGTGTTGCGCATAACCGCCAACGATGTCGCAGAGCTCCTGCGAAAAATGCCATCTTGGTCCATTTTGCAACTTTACCTACCCAGTGATAGTGTGATGAGGCGGTGAAAAAGACTATCAGCTTTGGGGAGTTAGATAGTGGTTCATTTCTCGGAGCAATAAAGAATCTAAACAATTGAATTTCCAGAAGGGGTCATCTTGAAACCCCAAACCTACTGGCTGTTCAAGGTTTCCCGTAAGTAACCAACTATATGGTGAACTACATACACTGAAAATTGACCAGATGGTTGGTAAGTGAAAAAGGTTCCCATATGTGGATTATTTTGGATTTATCATTCCGGTTGAACCAGTTAGATCCAGATCGGAATCTCGTTTTTTTCACCCTCCACCAGGTTTTGGGCATGGGGACCACACCATGACTGCTGCGTGCAAAACAACATTCCAAGTACTCAAGTGCGGCCCACACGCACACAAATACAACACATAACTTAACCATCAACCAAGACCAGCCAAGATAAGTTGGGCATTGCTCAATGTGATGGGCACACATTCCAACAGGCAAAGAAGATGTCCTGCTGACCACAAGTGGATGCCCATCAGTCAAATCGTCAGCAGAACCGAATGTTCTTAGCCTTAGAAGGTGATCTACTGATCCAGCATACCTGGCAAGATCATCTTCCCCTCTTGGTGGAAGGCACCAACCTACCAGGCCTCTCAGGTGTCAACAAATCTTGGGGCTCCTTGGCAGCCACCAACATAGCCTCCTTGAAGCGCTGGTTTTCCACCTCTGGGCTATTCTCCTCCTGCACCAGCTTCAGCCATAAAGAATTTTCGGAGGGAACACAGACTTCAGTGACTTCAGAATTGCCAGGTCCAAATATGGCGTTCTGCCCAGGGCTCGCCTGCCAGCTGGGATTCAAGCGCCCAACACGCGCTCCCAGGTGCGTCACAATGCGGTAACGCGGCTCATCAGCCACCTGTCAAGCATCTAACAAGCAGCTGTAGCAGTGCTTGGTACACAACCTGGCGCTCTACAACAGGAACATTTCACTGAATAGTGCGAGTTGCTTTTTGGGATATAGATTGGGAATAAATCCAGGATTACTATGTTCTTCATACCTCACTTCAACTGCTTGACCATGCCATGAGAGTGTCTCTTCTTTTTTTTGTAGGCTCGTGTCCACAATCCCAATCCGAGTGGCAGCATGGAATGTGACACGAATGGCCAGCCGGCCAGCCTGAACTCCATTGTCCAGGGCATCCAGCTCCCTTACCAGGTTGTCGTAGGTTTTTGCTACGATGGCTGCCTGAAAATGGGCCAAATGACCACACCCGCAGACAGTGGGTCATGGAGAGGCTCTTGTTCATAGTAGCGGGGGTTATTCTTTGAAAACAAAATGCAAAATAGTGACATATTTTACATTTTGTACTCAAAGAAAATCACCAAAACAAAACCATGTGGGTCATCTCAAGATCATATTGACCACCTAAAAACATCTACAAACGCTAAAAACCCATTGGTTTCCTCTACAAAACGAGCATACTCTGCTGTTTTTGGCCGGCTGTTTTTGGCAGACCCAAGAGCTGACTCAGCTACGCTAGGAGTGCGCCACTTGGACCTGTGAAGACACTGAAAAAACGTGCAAAGAAACGAAAGAACTCCCACAGCAGTAAGGTCTCCAATTCGAGGTTGTTCTGGGATACAAAGAAAAACAAGGAAAAACAAGGAAGCTACATCGGTCAGCAAAGCCACCTTGGCTTTTTCTTCAAGTGGTCCACAAAGGGCCTCAACAACCTCCAAGCTCCACATTTCCCCCCCCCCGGAAACACCCATCTGGATCAATCTGAAAGACCAATCTGATGATTCCAACATATTCCAACATCATGACATCTAATGAAATTCTAATGAATCTAATTGGCTAGTGCGACGTGTCCCCACCTTGCCGCCAAAGTGTTTGAAGACCAATCCCGCACTGGAGAGCTTGATGCCACTGTATGCCTTGGAGCGCAATGCGGCAAAGGTTTGTTCACACCCCCAGGTACTGAAAACGTGCTGGATACATGCGAAGTTTTTTCGGAACCATGTTCAACAATGCTCAACACTCATTGCCTCGTCGTAGGATGTCCTTTGGTAACAGGGACCCAGTTTCGGATTCAGACAGGTGCCTCCGAGTAGGTCTCGGTGAAGGTCTTCTGATGGTGGTCAAAGCGCTGTTTCTCAGGCTCGTAGGTGCCACCCACATCCACCACTATCGTCGCCTGGCAAAAAGTGGATGTTGATGCCTACTGACCGAAATGGAGGGGAAGTTGCACCGAGTGGGGGAATGGGTGATCTGTTCGTAGATTTCAAACAGACTTGATGATGTAAAAGGGCAAGTTTTTTTGACATCTTTTGACTATGTACACAATATGACCAAAAAGATTCAGTACTGAAAAACATCAGGAATCATGTCTGCAAAACTGGTGGATATCGATTGAGCTCGAGTGCTTGGACCTTGTCGATTTCTGCTGCATCTCGGGTTCGCAAAATTGGCAGACTTTGAAACTCGTCAAGACCTTGGCAACTTAAGTGACTTGGGGAGAGAATAAGTGCCTTGATGGTACTGGATCAACAAGGAATTAGTTAATTACTAGCATTACCTTTTCCTGGTGCTTTGGAAATCTCCAAACTCGTAGCCCGTTTTCCTGGGCATCCTCACACTTCAGCATCACACAAGCCATCACCTGCCGCAACGATTGCATGTGGGATTTCGCTGAACCATGAGAAAGCATGGACAATCGTGGTAGATAATCTTGCAAATAATCATCACTATAAAATATTATAGAATGTTATAAACCTAGATCAAGCCCATAGTTTCCCACCTCGTCACAATGGAAGGTTCCATGATGGGTGCAGACGAAGGCATCCAGTCCTCATGCCCAAACTCATCAGCAGTCACCCAAAATTTGGAAGTCTGAAGATACGGTACCCCAGGTACCCCAAAATCTCATGGTTGATCATCACCCCATTTTTGGGGCCCACATAAATCCGCCATTCTATGGGGCCCCTAAACCCTCAGAATTTAGACCTGGGAACCACACCATCCGGTCGCTTGGCCAAGAGCTCCGTGCCCTGGTGGGATGGGTAGCCTATCTATGCAGTGGTTCCTGTCTAAAGTCTTTAAATCCCATGTGACTGTAGTATTTTTTAATGTAAATGTGCCAGTTGCTTCATCGCGAAAAATTTCACCTACTGGCTCTGCACCTTTTAAACTATTTTAAACCCTCGACTCGATCAATCCACACCGAAGATTGAGCCGACGGTCCCCGAGTCCCCGACCCACTGCTCGCCTCAAGCTGTGCCTTCAGGGACTCGAGAGAAACCGCCCCTGGGCCTTTGGCCTTCTTCGACATGTCGCCCAAGATAGAGCCCATCAGCACCGAAGTCTTGAAGCGTTGTTGACGTTGCACTTGTGTCTGATCTCTGGTGCGAAAAGGGAAATAAGTTCAAAAGTTATAGAAATAATAGAAATGCACTTTGTATTTGAATGTGCTTGCATCCTTGACGACTTCCACCTGGATCAATCTCAGTTTAGTGGGCCAGTCCCAGAAAAAATCGGACACCCGAACCTACTGATGGCTGTATTGATCTGATGTGTTGGAGCGAGCTGAAGCTTACCATGTCACTTGAACTTCACAGAGACATACTCAGGTTCTGCAGCATGGATAGATAATGGGGCTCAACAGCTGCTGGTGCAAAGGTTGTGACATCGATGCAGCAGTGTGAAAAAAAGGGACAAAGTGGAGGGCCGCAACCTCGAGATACACCAAGACCAGCGCTCGAACTCCCATCCTTCTTCGCAACGAGGACAGGGCTGCCTTGCAACAGGCGAAACAGATTGAATCCTTCTGTCAGGTACATGGCGTCAAATGATTCTCAACCTGACAAATGAACCTCAAAAAATACGCGGCTTACGCTGCATCTTGCCGAAACTCACTTTGTGGAGAGCCCCTGTGCCTCCAGGAGCTGCACGTTTTGGCACCACGGGCCTTGCAATCAACAGAATGCGGATCATCAATTTGAACCATTGCCAGTCATTCCAAGTCCAGACTCATCACAGTGCAGGGTTGTATGGGGGTAAGTCGCAGGTATGCACGTTGAACCCCTTGCTTGCAAGTGGCGGCTACCACATGGGTGGTGCAATGTGGCACATCGCATTGAAGACCACAATAGCCACCTCGAGCAAAGATTGAGGAGATACCACGATGGCATTCTTAAACCGTTCACCACAGAAGAGTCAATGCGATGAGCCTGGTCTCAGTTTTGGTTTGCGCCAATGACTCAATTCAGGCTATCACATCTATGACATGGTTTTATCAATGTTTTATCATATCGTAGCACTGCATAGCACTGCATAGCACTGCATCGCACTGCCAGGAGTTTTCTCAATGAGCTTGGAAAAGCTTGAAGGCCATCAAGCATTCCCTCCTTGTATGTCAGTTGTTGCAACCCACTCTTGCAACAGACCATGGCCAGCATAATGAACTCCCAATGTATACTGCCCTTCCAGCCTCTGGAATCCACGGCTGCAGTCAGATTGCCCGAACAACCTGGAAGGGTGGAGCTCCGAAGATCAGCTACCAGGAATCTGGATATTGGCCATATATGGCCATATTACACCCTCTGGTAATTTAACGTAGCTATTGAAAATGGCCCATTTATAGCTGATATACCTATTAAAGATGGTGATTTTCAATAGCTATGTTAGTTTACCAGAGGGTATCCATATTAGGGTCTGTATCCAAAGTGACCCCACAAAATGGCGGGGCTAACAGTAAAGATATGTAAAGATGACCATCTGTGGCTCTTGATCCAATATCCCAATCTGCACGCCGTGCCAAGCAGCGGTTACAGCGCGCATCAGCGCAGTTCCATCCTTGGTTGGGCCTGGGTCAAGAAGCGGTAGAGTTCAAAGCTCAAAGATGATCTATTTTGCAGATTTTTGCAGGCATCATTCATGAGCCACTTGGACGATGCGTTTCACTATGCTTCACTGTGAGTCGTCCAAGTCAGCGACAAAGCAATCTCTTCGCAGTCGTCAATGCTGCAAGTCACCCCGTGCACCTCGCAGGAGCGAATGACAAAGCTGAAGAAGAACCGCAAGCAGTTTCTATAGTCATTCTATAGTGTCCTTATTTAGTGTCCAAGTCGCTTTCTTCATGATCTTTATGATCTTTAGTTGCCAAATGATGCCAAATGCCATTCAGACAACATGACGGTCAAAAACCAAAAACATGGCATCAATGGAGCGGTTCAGACGCAGCCGGAAAAAGGACATTTCACATTAACATGCTGCTCATGCTGCGCATCACATCTGGGTGGTCTGAGAAGCCCCCACGAAAAAGAAGTAGACCTCGGAAAAATGACAAGTGCAAATTTGCGGACTCGACCTTTACCAGGGTCGCAACATCTTGTTTCTCGGCCATCCCCTTGCCTGTAAGGATTCTATCGGTAGAACACCCCTTTGAGACCAGGGCAATTCCCTGTTCCACATCTCCTTGGTTTCCAGACCCCGGCACCTGCTGCTACAAGTACCAACAGGACCAGCGCTGCCGCGATACGGCATGTTGTGCCTCATGGATTGATCAAGGAATATCAAGGTGCCATGCCCACTGATATGGATTTTAAATTAGTTGAGCCTGATCAGGCACCGTTTTTCGGAAGAGTGGTGCAACGCAGTTTAACGTTTTTCCCCTGGTTTGGATTGTCCTCGCAACAAACCTTTGGCCTACAAAGCATTCTTGGCCCCCCAACAGCATTTTGGTCTCACCTCTCTGACCTGCGGCGCGCAGGTCACCTCTAATCAACACTCCTTCGTAGCGTAGTACGTAGCTTGGAAGTTCGGGAGAATGTTGCCATTGCAAGGGAGAAACTCTCTGAAGCTAGGTGTGCGTTTGTTTTTGCAATCACTTGAAGATTCTGCAATTTTTCTCCACGAGACTACTTCCTGGAAAACCCTGGAAAGCAACCATACACAACCAGCGTCACAGTCGGAGGTCCAAACTACACCTAGCCACCTTCAGCCCAACTAGAATTATCCCGGCAAGAGACCCTAAACAGCGTGGGGGAATGGGAGGATAATGTAGGATAATGTTGGGGATGAGGATGATGATGATGATGATGATGATGATGATGATGATGATGATGATGATGACGTTGATGACGGTGGTGATGATGATGATGATGATGATGGTGATGGTGATGATGATGAAGATGATGATGATGATGATGATGGTGATGATGATGATGATGACGATGACGATGACGATGATGCTGGTGAGGATGTTGAGGATGATGATTCTGAGGATGATGAGGATGATGAGGATGATGAGGTGCAGGAGGATGATGTTGAGGATGATGTTGAGGATGATGTTGAGGATGATGTTGAGGATGATGAGGTTGAGGATGTTGATGGTGAGGATGATGATGTTGAGGAGGATGAGGATGAGGATGATAATGCGGAAGATGAAGTGGAGGATGATGATGTTGCGAAGGAGGATGGTAATGATGTTGAGAATGGTGAAGTTGAGGATGATGATGTTGAGGTTAATGATGGTGAGGATGACTATGTTGAGGAGGATGAGGATGAGAATGATGATGTTGAGGAGGATGATGGTGAGGATCATGATGTTGAGGAGGATGGTGATAACGTGGCGGAAGATGAGGTGGAGGAGGATGATGTTGCGGAAGATGAGGTGGAGGATGATTTAGTTGAGGATGATGATGTCAAGGGGGAGGAAGATGACGATGTTGAGAATGATGATGTTGAGGAGGAAGATGATGATGTGGGGTATGATGATGTTGAGGAGGAGGACCGACCCCAAGACCGAGGACAACACTTTGTGCGAGCCTGCGCAGTCGAAATGCATCATAATGCATCTCAAAATTTCACAAGAGCCACTTTATAAGGAAGTTTGCAGGAAAAATGCCGCGCCCCTGGACCCCAGAAGCGGGACCCGCACTTCGTGCAAGCCTGCGCAATCGAAATGCACATCAACATTTCACAAGAGACATCAGAAGGGCCATTTTATACTGAAATTTAAAAGAAAAATGCCGCGGCCCAGATTGGGCACAGAACGCAGACACACACTTCGTGCGAGCCTGCGCAATCAAAATGCATGTCCACATGTCACAAGAGACATCAGAAGAGCCACTTTTTACGGAAATTTACGGGAAACATCCCGCGGCCCAGATTGGGCCCAAAACGACGGCGCAGACGTTGTGCGAGCCTGCGCAGTCGAAATGCATGTCAAGATTTCACAAGAGCCACTTTTTACGGAAATTTACAGGGAAAATGCCGCGGCCCAGATTGGGCCCAGAACGCAGACATACACTTTGTGTGAGCCTGCGTCGAAATGCATGTCCACATGTCACAAGAGACATCAGAAGAGCCACTTTATAAGGCAAATTACAGGAAAAATGCCGCGGCCCAGATTGGGCCCAAAACGACGGCGCAGACGTTGTGCGAGCCTGCGCAGTCGAAATGCATGTCAAGATTTCACAAGAGCCACTTTTTACGGAAATTTACAGGGAAAATGCCGCGGCCCAGATTGGGCCCAAAACTGCGGCGCAGACGTTGTGCGAGCCTGCGCAGTCGAAACGCGTGTCAAGATTTCACAAGATTCACTTTATACGGAAATCTTAAGGAAAAATGCCGCGGCCCAGAGTGAGCACCCTGATCAAGCACCGGCCTTTACTCCTCGTAAGAACCCCTCACTGTGGACATACTGTTTGGGGAAAAACCAACATAACATCCATCACAGACTTCACACAAACCTCATCTGCAAATCCAACCCCCAAAACACACCCCGGCATCTTCCCTCGCCTGTTGAGATTCAGGATCCAAGGGAATCCGGATTTCGGCGGACACCTTGAGGCACCCTTCCCAAAGTCTCCGGTCCAAAGCAAACATGCTCTTTCTTGGCCGCTTAAAAAACCTCTGACCCATTATTTAGAGGAATTTTCTGGCCTAGCTGAAACCCCACGAGTCCAGTCAATGACAATTGAACCTCTGCCAATCTCCCCTGACCTCTGACTGATGTCTTTCTGTATGCAGCTCATCGGCTGAGATCATCACCGACATGCCTTTGAAATGGTCCAGGTGGAGAAGTTCCGAAAGTAATGGCGTAGGTGCTCTAAGCTATGTCTAAACGACAAGGCTATCCACAAGCCAATGAGTGAGAAAAAAATTCAAGCAAAATCTCAAAGTGGATAGATTGGGTGGCTAGTTGTGGCTAGTGATGGCTAGTTGCGGCTAGTTTGTCATCGCTGGTGATTCACCACTTGAGCCCTCTTGTCAGAGAACGCGCAGGTTTGAAGTCACTGATCTTCACGAAACATGCAATCATTTCTTTGAAAACCAGTTGTCCACAATTCTTGCAAACTACCATTGGAGCCTGCCACTTCTGGCCCAAGCACCCCGCAGAATGATTCTTGACAAGACTTTATGCGTTAAATGGCCATCTAGTGGTAGTGGTTCAACCCACAGCATTTAAGGATCTGCAGCTTCAAAAGCCAGGCTGCAACCCTAGAACTTCAGCCTCACCCTAGCAAGAATTTCTAATTGGTTCCAATGACACCAGCCTTGATCTCCTTCTTTGCGACCAGCTCTTTCTTGGCTGGCACCAAGGAGCACTCAACCCTCAGTTGTGCATGTTCCTGCAACCCACTTGAAGCATCTTAAAGGATTGACTTTGACCATTGATGTTGATCTCACGGATCTCACCCATTTGAATCACGCCAAGGTTGACCCAATAGATCTGTGATTCTGCATCACCCTGCGGCCCGGCATGGTAGGCCCTGGACAATGCCACATCATCGTCAGAGTCGATGAGGTCCACTGTCTTCATTTCAGGTTTCACCTTTTAGTGACCAATCTGGATGAAACAAGGCATCAAGGCCCAAAAAGCACTCAGCCAGGAAAAAACGGGGCTGGTGAAGAAATATGAGTGAAATATGGCACTCTGCTGAGAAAGGTGGGAAAAGGCGTCGGAGAAGTTGAGAACCAGGTTCTACCTGTGAGGACGACATGGCAGGGGCTAACCTTGTAACCAGAAGTTTGACAAAACCCCCCGGCTTCCCAGGCTTCAGTTGTGCATTCTGTGCATTCTACGGGATTTCCTTCGGAAACACATGCAAATCTTGGAAAGCTCCACAGAAGCAACCAGAGATCGCATTGACAGAGAAGTTGGGCAAAATCCTTCCCCAACCACAGATGCTAAGACAACGATAGCGACCCTCAAATAATCAAACCCTGTCGCTCAGCAAGGGCACCTTCGCCACCGGCGCACTCGCACCAGCGTCGACCACTGTAATGGCCTCGGGTTCTCAAATCATTTACAGGAGATTATGCTTCATTCAGATGACCTTATGTAAAATCTATCATTTAATATATATATATATATAAGGATACGTATATGTTGTTTATGTATATACAACATATGTAGTACAATATATGTAGTATAACTATATAATAATATATATATACATACATATAAAATCTAAAATCTAAAGAAGAAGCTTGGGGACTTGGGTTCAATGGTGATGGCAGCTTCCAAGAGGCGCTCCTCGGCACGATCCAATCCCCGGCTTCAACTGGGCCACGGAACCGCCATGGCTGGCCCAGCGAGCGCATTGGCCCGGTCACCCAAAGTGAAAGATGGCGTTGTGTGCCCAGGGATCCATGCCAAACCTTGGCCAAACCTTGGGCATGTGAAAATGTGGCCCAACTATGCCCAACTCCAGTTCTTACAGTTTGTTTATGAATTAATTAAAGATACCTACCTCATATACGTGCCTATGATTTGGGAAATGTTCATGCTCACTGTCACTTGTTGAATCGGAACCATCCATGGGCAAAGAGCAGTAAGAAGCAGTGTTCAAATCTGTACTTGATTGGAAAGCGAAGAGAAGTGCTTCAAGACTGATTCCATTTCTTTATCAGTTACGGATCTTCATGGCATTGGATGTGGGTGCCTTGAGTCTTCATGCCACTCATCAAGACCTTCTGTGGGCCACCCAACTGTTAGCCAGCAGCTGGCACAAATGGCAGGCTGCAGCATGGGAGAAAAAAGATGGATCCAGGTCTCCATGTCACTCCTGGTATTGGGATCTCCGTTCTTCCTACAGTACTCAAGACTAGTGACACTTGTTGCTGGAGATTCTGGAGCCATACTGCACTACTGTACTATCTTGAGAATCCGGCTGAGGTTGTCTCTGGAGGGGTATTTATTCTCACGTGTCCAAGCGTTTTCACCTCGGACATCATGCTCCGTGTCCATTATATA